TGCATTCTCTTCAGCAAGATTTGAGATAAAGAACAAGCAACAACAGACTAGAAAGAAGGACAATTGACCAATTGTGAGAACTACAGAGGCATCACTCTTCTGTTAATACCAGGTAGTCTTGAACAGGGTGTAGTTAAACATAATAAAGGACTCCGTAGGCGCCAAACTTCAAGATCAACAGTCTTCATTCAGTAAGGAACGATCGTGCACAGACCAGGGTTCAAGACTACGGATCATCGTAGAACAATCAATTGGATAAAATCCATCACTCTACATAAACTTCATTGATTACGAAAAAGCATTTAATGGCGTAAATAGAAAAACACTATGGAAGCTTCTTCGACAGTATGACGTGCTTCAGAGGATAGTCAATATCGTATAGAACTCCTTTAATGAATTAAACAGCTCGCAGACTCGTTCAATTCCTATGATGGATTAAACTGCAAAATCGTGCATGGAGGACAATTGTCAAACTCGTTCGAGGTAAATACCGGTGTCAGTCAAGGTTGGTTACTCTCAACCTTTCTCTTTCTTCTAGTGGTCGACTGGATCTTGAAGACGTCAACATCTTGGGTAAGGATGGGATACGGTGGACAGACAAGATTTAGCTGGACGATCTAGACTTCGTAGATGATCTGACTCTTTTGTCACACACGTAACAACAAATGCAGGAGAAGACGACCAGTGTAGAAGCAGCTTCAGAAGCAGTAGGTCTCAACATACACAAAGAGAAAAGCAAGATTCCGCGATACAACACAGCATGTAACAATCCAATCACAATTGACGGAGAAGATTTGGAAGATATAAAAACCTTTACATATCTGGGCAGCATCATCGATAAAAATGATGGATCTAATGCAGATGTGAAAGCTCGGATCGGTAAAGCAAGAGCACTATATTTAAAAGTGAAGGACATCTGGAACTCAAAACAACTGTCAACCAACACCGAGGTCATGATTTTCAATACAAATGTCAAGACAGTTCTACTGTATGGGGCAGAAATCTGGAGAACTACGAAAGCCATCATCCAGAAGATACAGGCGTTTATTAACAGAAATCTACGCAAAGTACTTGGGGTCCGTTGACCAGACACTATCCGTAACAACCTATTGTGGAAGACAATAAACCTGATCCTAGTGGAGAAAGAAAACAGGAAGAAGCGCTGGAAGTGGATAGGATACACATGGAGTAAAGCACCCAACTGTGTCACAAGGCAAGCCCTCATATGGAATCCTGAAGGCCGAAGAGGGAGAGGAAGACCGAAGAACACATTAATCCGAGAAATGGAGACAGACATGAGAAAAATGAACAAAAATTGGATCGAACTGGAAGGGAAGGTTCAAGACAGAGTGGGTTGAGGAATACTGGTCGGCGGCCCATGTTCTTCCGAGAGTAACAGGCGTAAGTAAGTAGTCTACAAACTAAATGTGTTCTCCATCATATTTCGGTGACTAAGATAAGACGAGTCTGTGTAGACAGTGATGTGATTTATAGAATAAGTAATCATATCATTACAAATCTACACTTTTAGGATTAGGTCTGTTATTAGAACAATACTTGTAAAATTATGGTCTACTTCGTTGCTAGTACTATACTGATAATAGGCCTAATCCTAAAATTGTGGATTTGTCATAATGCGACTGCCTAATTTATGAGATCTTACATGGAAGTCACAGCATTGTCTACACTGATTCATAGTATCGCAGCAGTCACCAAAATATGATGGAGAACACTTTTAGGCTGCATATAGAACAACATATTGAATATGAATAAAAGTTGCACAAGAATGGTCACGCCTGCAAGGCCGAGCTGTGCTATTCGATGAATTTGAATTAATTTAATTTTCTCTTCCTGCCTTCTCCATCGTTGTGTTTTTCGCCGCGTTAAATGTTGGATATCTATTTTCTCAGTTGTCTCGTGTTCAGCTTTGAGGATTGTGGGGCTGGGATTCAATGCCACTACATACTAACAACAAAGTAGCACACTACTGTACATTGGTAAGCTCAACTGAAGAAACGCAGAATATTATTAATCCTCATTTTTGATTTACGTATCTTGATCGATTTCTACTTACGTCAACCCATTATTTCATTAGTCCTCTGGGAAATGCTAACGTGTATTATCGTATTATTATGTTGATTATTACTCATAACTTGCTAGCTCAATCGATACTAATAACTGATCACCTATATTAATCATTAACTACGATGGTTCATTGACAAGCGTTAATAGAATTTCAGGCATCAGAGAAATGAACTTGTTAAAACATCGTGCTATGGCAAATATGACATTTAAATGATGTAAATATACATTGGTTATCAACGTGAGCAAGGACTAAATGGTTATCTAGACCTAATTCTTCATCTCGTTTCTTCACTTAACGTTCCACTATGTTTTAAACTATGGACTATCTTGTAATATCTTTTCACCCGCCCACTGCATGCCTAATTTTTAATCTTCGAGTTCCACTGCCGAACAACGAAACCAACACAATACTAGACCTGTTGTCAGCCGATTTTCTGTCAAGCATCTTCAAGTAAAATTTGCATATTCACATAATGAGATTTATAACAGCATTCGGAGCTGACTATGTATATATCTACTGATCGTTGTAACGGGCAAACTCACACAGCTAAATTTTGGTACGATCTCGGTATTATTCCGATACCATGAGATTGCTAACAAATTCATCTTACTGCTACCTGCAACTGCCTCCTGATATTTGACCTACAGAGCGGTCCAACCTGGTAACTGGCGCGTAGTCTTCCTGTAGTGGTGATCATAGTCAACCGCGACTCGAAGCCTACCGCAAATCTGCACTAGATCATGATTGGGTGCGTCATGTGAACCATCTCTCGCAACAAATAGCCAGCTGAGCTCCTTGATTGTCGAGTTCTGATTTAACAGGATTGGTGTCATTTGACTATAGAGTTGCCGTGGGAGAAGCGTTGTGAGACCGTAAATATCTGTTCTGTTTTTATACTTATGGGAAACTCCACTGTACTCGTCGCGTACAAAACTTCAGCTTCAATCTATGTGATAGTTCAGGTGTCTTTTTATGATAAATAGAAGTATTCGAATTATCGTATGACTAGGAATTCTCGAAGCAGTGCAATTTGAGCCAAATAGAACTAGGAGGGCGTAAAAGTATGTATCGTATTTAGAATACAAAATCAATCAGGAATCGAGTAGAAAACAACAATTAATTCATACGAATACCATAACTGCCACAGCTTAAATTTGAATCTAAATATCTGTAATCGATTGTACGTCTTCTAAAGTTCATTGAATGTTTTACAGACCATGTGTTGGATACCGATTCTGTATGATCTAGAATGTAATCATTAGTATTAGAATTAACAGCGAAAATTGGAATAGACATACCTGTATCTTTGTGCTGCATTGAACTGTTGTGAGTGATATGCATATGAACTACAGATTTATTAACCTGCTTAAGCAGAACTGCCATAGAATATGAATAAGGAGTTCTTTTGAAAAGACTTGTTGTTTAATCAGCTTCATCATTGTTTATCTTTCGTACGGCGTGGCAATTCTGCACTGAGGAACTTTTTCCATTCTCCCCTCAGGATCTTTTAACCTTGCAGCAGTAGTAAAACTGAAATTTGTTTTCAGGGTTTGGAGATTTCTTACTTGCACATGAAAATCAAGGGACTTTGGAGTCGTGTATAAATTTCCGAATTTCGATTCATTAATTAGCAAGTTATCAAGCACATCATAAGAAGCATTTCCAGTTTTCACAAAGGGAAAGCTGACCCTGAACCACTCCTAAAATTTCTAGACCTAGCGTGGTCGATCCAAGCCCAATGATAAGAACTTCACAACTTACAATTGAACATTTATCATCGCTGATCGACAAAATACTAAGTTGAAGAATTGGAGGTTTATGACCAGTGATACTCGAAGTGACAACTTGGGTATGCGTGATTACAGCATTAGAATTTCGTGACTTTGACTTTACAATTGTCATTGTCAACAGTAAAAACATGAAAAACACCACTAAGCATTTAGGGTCGTTTTTGAATGTGAAGGGAACTACTGGAAGTTGTCATTAAGGATAATATATGATCATTAGAATCTACCGAATTATTAGGATCTGAATGGCAAAGTTTATTAGCCCAATAGATTTGCAAACTGAATGAATGTGCCCAGTGTTACCACAGCTGGAACATTTAGCATTATGAGAGACACATAAATTAAATGCGTAAAATTTGCTATAGAGCAAACACTTACCAAACTTGTGTGTCTTTTTCGTTACCTTCTTTGCAATTCCTATCTGTATGACCTAGAGCATATATTGAACTGTGGTATCTAAATAATGTGCTTGGTGTCCTGGAAGTCAATTTCATGCACTGCCTCGTAATTAATATACACGGTTCTAGCATCTTGAAAGAGACACTTCGGCATTTGCATGGGATATATTTCCAGACTAGATATGTTAATCTCTGCAGTCAATCGATCATGCAGCTGTACATAAAGTTGATCACCAAAATTGCATTTGGCAGCTTGCTTTTGTAATTCAAGGATAAGTTAGCCAATATTTTGGTTGTGCCAGCACGTTAAAAAATGTGTTTGCTCCTCTAAAAGTGTTATAAAAGGGATATGATAGTGAAGTTTGGACTAGAAAGTAAACCATAATCAAATCGTACAGGAGCTCTGAACTTGCAGCTGGTACAGTTCAGAAAGAATGAGGTAGATATTATCATAGTGCATCATATCACTCATTAGTAACTACCATATGGCTAACATCCCATGCATTTTAGCAATGGTCTACACTTAAAAAAGCATCCACGATGGATAGAATACCTCAATAAAATTCTTTAAAGCTTTCCTGTGTTCGTAATCAAACTGCTGAACATTTTGCCAGGAGCAATAATATTAAAGCTTTCTAATCATTAATTTTTCTTCCATTTAAATACAAACCCCAGAAAACAAACGAATTACTAATTTTGTCAAGAGAGGTTTGTACTTTGTACTTGGTCACACTATCGAATATGTGCGCAACGGCGCTAAGAGTCTGTGAAGGCCGTTCCTACTGACTTATGTTTAAGGAGGTTAAGCCTGAAGTAACTGATTTTATCGAACAAAGTAGGAAGCAGAGAAATGAGCGGCGCGATGCTAAAGCTAGAGCGCTATCTGCTGTAATCATTCAAGTGAGTTTAAACAATGTTTTATGATAGTTGTAGAAAAATTGGAGAAGTTTCTTAGTCAGGAGAAATGTCATTCGAGGCTTTCGGTTTGTCAGTTTTTAGGTAAACTTGTTATACTCAGCTCGGAGTTTGACTTCAAGATACTCGAAGGAAATGGTGTCAAATTGACTCAGTTGATTCCTGGTTTGTTAGATATTTGCCCTTTTATTCTTGCTTTAAGCCACTGAACTTTTGAGGTATGTAAAGTATCTAAAGTTCCATTATAACTCGAAACTGGATTATGAAGTAAGTTTCTCTTATCAAGGTTTAGGGTGTTTACTCTCTCTAGCGTTTTTTAGTTCTTATTCGATATCTAGTGAACTCTGTGGATACCGGAGACTTTAAAGTATTTTACTTTGAATCACTCATAATATTCAGGTTTCTTATGTATCTCTTGCGCTAAGGAAACCTACACTGGTCGATTGGATAATTACAACAAAATGGTTGTTCTCTACGGTTGTCGAATATATGGGTTCTTTAGATGTAAGTTATTGTCGGTACCATTCATGTTCAGCCATCCATTCCTAGTGATTCCAAGGTCTTGAACATATTTCTGTCATTCTTACTGATACATACCAACTGTTGCCAGTGGTCGATGATACAAGGTGAGTTTATTCCATAATGTATTAGTGTTATTGCTATTCGGTTTTTGTACATTTGAGTCAAGTTACTGAACTAGATGAACAAGTTTATTATATTTAATTTGTTTTGATTCTTAGCATTAATTTCTTTTTAGCTCAGTTCTTCCTTAAGTGAGTTAATGTTAAACAAACTATAAGACGATATGCGACACTCAAAACTCAAAATATTGGTTATTAAGTTTCTGTTGCATTTATATGCTCTTTGTTTTGTCCTTATTAGGGAAAAATATTTTGTCATAATTAGGGATAACAGTACTGCATGTTTATGGATTCTGTCGAGTAATTCTTAAGTTCTGTCGTATATAGCTGAACATCTCGAATGGTTAGATGTTTATATTTGTAACAAATATCGAGTTGAGTTTTTGAACTACATACGGGTCTGAAAAGTGACTCGGCATTTCTTTTGTGTCAACTGGATTCTGATGGCTCCTGATCTAAAAAAACGTTCGAAACGTACGTTTGTTAAGATGACAAAATATATTTGAGTAACCAAATAATGTTTCATTACAGTAATTAAGAACTGTAATTGAAAACCCATCGTTTCACACAGAACTTAGTGATATGAATGATTGGTGCCTTATAATCTAGTACAGTTCACTCGAACTGGAATTGTCTGCAGCAGTCGATAAGGGTTTGATGAACGCAGGATTAATTACACTTATTTAGTCAACAATTCTAGAAACTTTTGGTTTTCATCTTCATGATTTTCTGTTACCTCTTCATTCGTGTTTCAGACATTCGTCACCTATTTCAATCAAGGTGGTGCAATGCTATCGTAGGTGAACATAAGTATAATTTGCCTATCCATCGACGTAATTTGTCGTAGGATCAAGTTAGTTTCAATCTATCATTCATATCTCTTAAGGAAACCGGTATTAGGAACCCAACTGTTAGCGAAACACTCTCAGAGAAAGATGGACATATTATACATTCTTAATCCAGGAGATTGGATTGATGGGCAGAACATTTTAACGATGAGTTCAACTGACCTTCAGCCACACTTCGGTTTCCTACGATCTCCGGTCAACTTGAATGGCAAGTTAATTTAGGTCCTCCGTCTCTTTGCGAAGTTGAAAAAACCATCGGAAATCTGAAGCGAGGGAGAGCAGCAGGCCCTGACAGGTTTACTCCTGAGATTTTTAAGGATGGTGGTCCAGTATTAGCAGTGAGATTGACTGAGGTCTTAGGTAGAATTTGGGAACTGGACGCAATCCCATCTGACTGGTCTCAATCACTGATTGTGCCAGTTTTTAAGAAAGGACAAAAGTCCTCTTGTGACAATCACAGAGAAATCAGTTTGACTAATATAGTGTCTAAAATATTAGCTTCAATAATACTTCGACGCCTAACCAGAGCTCGTGAAGAACAGACTAGAGAAAATCAGGCTGGTTTTCGACCTGGACGTGGTTGTATAGACCAAATATTCACACTACGTCAGGTTCTAGAACACAGACACACGTTTAGACGCCCCACAATGGTAGTATTTCTCGACCTTAAGGCGGCACTCGACTCTGTTGATCGTAGGGTTCTATGGCAGTGTTTGTCACTGAAAGGAGTACCAAAGAAGTACATTAACTTTATTCAGGCTCTCTACTCGAATACAACTGGTAGAGTGAGAGCTTATGGCGAACTGTCATCAGAATTGATTACCTCAAGTGGTGTTCTTCAGGGCTGTCCACTCTCCCCATTCTTGTTCAACTTTGTCATTGACGTACTTTTAGAGATGACACTCTCCTCATCTAAATTTCCAGGGGTTGAACTTCTACCAGAAGATTCACTTGTTGACTTGGAATATGCTGATGACATAGTTTTATTTGGCGAAGACGCTGACAAAATGCAGAGTCTTCTGACCACTCTAAGCAACAATGCAAGCATGTTCGGGATGCGATTCTCTCCCTCGAAATGCAAAATGTTGCTTCAGGATTGGGTTATATCGACACCCGAACTAGTGATAGGGAGTGAAGTAGTTGAGTGTGTCGACCGATTCACTTATCTTGGAAGTCTCATCAGCCCTTGTGGTCTGGTATGTGACGAAATCTCAGCACGGATACAGAAGGCTCGACTAGCTTTTGCGAACTTGCGTCATTTATGGCGTAGGCGAGATATCCGTCTATCAACCAAAGGACGTGTTTACTGCGCAGCAGTTCGTTCCGTCCTACTTTATGGTAGTGAAACACGGCCGGTAAGAGTAAAGGATGTTCGTAGGTTACTAGTATTCGATCATAGGTGTCTTCGAAACATTGCTCGTATATCCTGGGACCACCGAGTAAGTAACGCAGTTGTTAGGAAACGGGTACTAGGTAAGGATGGCAAATCGATTGATGAAGTGGTGAAACTTCATCAGTTGAGATGGCTGGGGTATGTGTTACGTATGCCCAACCACTGACTGCCCCGACGTGCGATGTTTCATGGTGTAGGAGTATGTTGAAAGAAAGCTTGAAGCAGCCAAACCAAACATGGCACAAGTCCATGAAGGCACTGGCAAGTAGACTGAGTCATATTAGTAGGTGTAGACTACCTGGTTGGAAACCGCGAGATGATAGCAACCGATAGTTAGAGACCTTGAATGATATGGCTCAAAATCGTTTGCAATGGCGCAGGTGCATCCACCCTTTGGGTTCTCCCGAATTCTAATCTTCTGAATTCTTCATGTCCCTTTCTTTTTTCTCTTTCCAAATTTATTTCACTGGATTATACTCTTTGAATAGCATCTTCAGACCCTAATCTTTCAGATTACTGCTTATACTCTTACTACCTGTACCACTACGGGATTTGAATCGACCACTGCATCTCTGTCCTAATGTGGTGTGGCAACTCGAACTGATGTACGTACGTACTAAGTTCTACGTTGTTACTGACTGACTGACTGACTAATTGATCATTCATATCTAACAAATATACTTGTTCACTGATGGCAAATTTATCGCCAATAAACATGGTTTGAAATGGTTGCATTCAACTACACTCGTGTCAATTTGATTATGTGCTGTGTTTTTAGACAGTTTAGTGCTCATAGTTGCTACCGACTAAATGATATTAACCGTAAAGATGACCTTATTATCGAATGTTTAGTAAATATATAGTAACTTGGTCCAGGTTTATTCGTTTGGCCTCTATTCATAACTCTTATTTAAGAACTAATGAAACTGGTCAGTTGCATAAAGCTTGTTAAGTAAAGTTAATCATCTAACAATCAAACCTGCGGATTTTCATGTTATCTATTTTCTGTCTTCAATGATAGATAACATGAAAATCCGCAGGTTTGATTGTTAGATGATTAACTTTACTTAACAAGCTTTATGCAACTGACCAGTTTCATTTTATGGTAATTGTACCATACTTACACCAATCTCTTCGTTATCGTTCTCTCTTTTTTTTGCGCTCCTTAGCTTTTTTGTATTCCTCTTCGAATTTTCATTGTTTTGTGTGGCGCATATATATTGACGCTCTCTTGTACCAATATTCATGTATCCAAATAAATAAATAAATTGTACTATAGCTGTTTCATTTGAACGCTAATTTTCCAAAGTTCTTATTTTATAGATGAAAAACTGAAGCCTGCGATGAGCCGATTGGCTACAACGTTTCTCCAGCATCTTGTGCAAAAGAGTTTATTTGAACATTTAAATGTAAATTTCCTTTTTAACTAATCGGTCGCTTTCCAGGCTGTTTTGCAAAAAGGTTTGGCTAGACACACTCCTGCATTAACAAAAGTATCTTTGACTGGTATATTTACCATTGCTATGAGGTTAGTGTTAAATTGATGGGGATATATTTCACGCGAATTTGTGATTGATTCTGCTTGTCCATGAGAGCTATGTTATTACTAAGTACTCTGGTTCAGTACCTAGAAATAGGGTCGCTAGTTTTGCTTTAATTTACGTGCCAGTGGTGTTGTAGTTAAGCATTTTTAGTATAAGAATTAACAAGTCAGCCTTTCATATATAATTCATTTAAACATTTAGGTAGTATTTATAGCACTTACATAACAATTTTCTTCTAACGTTACATACTTAAACCTCTCATAAGTTGCTGGAGTGTAGTTATAATAACTTATATTCCAGTGCACTTAGCACTTAACCTCGTTACCATCTTCAACACATCTGTACATTGTGTGTGAAATTAATAAAGTACCTAGTCTGTTAAAAGTTTCTTGCTTAGCGCTGGCACGTATTTGTTGATAGTGAAGCATTTCAACTTGAAGATCCAAATCAATTAGCGGCTTTCAACTTATATCTGGCAACGACATGTGATCATCATTTAAACACAAAATAATCCCTGAAATTTCAACAAATACATGTCTCACACAGACGTAATAATAGTGTGAGCTGATTGAAGATAAGATCTTAATAATAATCAGTCAGTCAGCTGCAACATAGGACCGAGCACATATGTGCATTGGTCCAAGTTGACATACCTCATTAGCATAACAAGATGAACACCAGATTCATCAAAGTAGTTAATTCAGTGGTGGTAATATATAAAAGAAAGATTGTGTATAAGGATATTTATTTATTTATTTGAACACATAAATATTGGTACAAGAATGCGCCAAATATATATGCCCCACACAAAACAATGAAAATTTAAGGGGAAGGAAAAAAAGAGAGGATAATAACGAGGAGATTGATGTAAGGTGGTGTAATAATAATGGTAAAAATGGGGGAACGGAAAGGTACAATCAGAAGAAATCTCTCAGTTAAGGAAGACAAAACCACTTTTTATGAAGAAAGTAAAAGAAGGTTACAGCAGGATCGCCACTGGCTTCTATTCTGAGCCATATCTGATAACGTCTCTAACCACTGTGTTACACCATCTCTAGCACCCCAACCAGGGAGTCGAGAAGGACCGACACAAGCCAGTCCTTTGCAGCTTCCTTTAATCCCACGACACCATGTCATATACTGACCACCTCTCCGTTTTTCCCAACCAGTCCCAGAATCGGAAAACAATGCACAGCGAGGAATTCTCTGGGACAACATTCATAGAACATGTCCATGCCACCGAATTCGATGTTTCAAGATGGTGACACCAATTGGATTATAGTCTATGTGCCCGAACACACGATACCGAACCTCTGCATTACTAACATGGTTTTGCCACTGGATGTCAGCAATCCTCCGTAGACAACGATGATCAAACACAGATAGTCGTCTAACGTCCTCAACTGAGATTTGGCCAAGTTTCACAAGCATAGAGCAGAACTGCTCTCAACGGTGCGTTGTAGATTCGGCCTTTTACAGCCAAAATAACATCACGAAGGCTCCAAAGGTGGTTCAGATTGGCATAAGCCGCTCTGGCTTTCACTATATGTGCATTGATCTCATCACTCACACCACCACCAGCACTTATGCAGCTACCCAGATACACGAACTTTTCGACTACTTCTATCTGCTCACCATCCAACGTGAGTACAGGATTAGAATCCTGCCAGTCTTGTAGAGGTACTTTGCACTTCGAAGGTGCAAAGCACATACCATACCTACGGACACTGATTGCCAACTGATTAAGTGCGGATTGCATGCCTTGGGCATTATCGCACAGTAAGACAATATCATCATCCGCATACTCAAGGTCGAGAAGTCCTTCTCCGGGCAACATATCCACACCGCCATTACTTACATCCATCAGAGCTGTTTCTAGAATGTCATCGATGGCAAAGTTGAAGAGGAATGGTGAGATTGGGCGACCCTGTCTAACCCCACTGCTCGAATGGAACAATGGAGAAAGGTGGTTGTATGCCCTCACTCTACCTGAGGTGTTTTTATATAGGGCTTTTAGGATGTTAATAAACTTCTCAGGCACACTCTTCTTCAATAGACAATCCCAGAGAACAGTCCTATCTAACGAATCGAAGGCAACCCTGATGTCAAGAAACACTACGATTGTTGGCCTTTGATAAATATGGCGGTGTTCTAACATTTGGCGGAGGGTGAAGATATGATCAATACATCCTCAACCAGAACGAAACCCAGCCTGCTCCTCGCGAGTCAATCTTTCTCGGGTTTTGAACAACCTACGAAGTATGACGGAAGCCAATAGCTTGGACGCGATCGGAAGTAGACTTATCCCCCGATGGTTGTTGCAGGAACGACGTGAACCCTTTTTAAAGATAGGGACAACTATCGACTCATTCCATGACGTTGGTACACTCTCTAGCTCCCAAACCTCTGTAAACAACGTCGTCAGTTCCTTAGTCAGAAAGTCACCACTATCTTTAAAAAGAGCCAGAGGTAAGTCATCTGGACCAGGTGATTTGTAGGGCTTCAAGAGTTGGAGTTCCTTGCGGACTTCCTCCTCGTTTGGTGGATCAGTCGTCACCGACCGTGGAGGGCAGGACAGTCCGACCGATGTTGTTGGAGCAGCAGGCCAGTTGGACTGCCCTTCGAAAAATTATGCCCATCGTCCAAGACGTCGATGGATGTTAGTGATTGGCATCCCGTCATCCTCGTCGATTGTTTCGCTCACACTAGACGTTTTGCTGCCAGTGGCTCGGATGAGTTGAAAGAGCTTCCGGCAATTACCAGATGCAGCTGCTGCTTCCAGCTCATTAGCACGCTCCGACCATCAGGCTTCTCGGTCCCTACGCAAGCTTTGCCCGATTTCCTTACGTAACATCCTTCGTTTGTGGCCAAACTCACGGTCACCCGAAGTAGACCGACGGGCTTCAATGAGTTGTAAAAAACCTGAAGAAACCCAGTGCTTATGAGCTGACCACTTTTCGTCACACAAGCAGTGTGGCTCACGGTCATTTGTATAAACCTGTGCTTGATAAATGAGTTTCATTAAGTAATCAGTTAGTTTTTTGCTTTCAAATCATTTTCATATTCTTCAAATTATTTTTATATTTCTCGTTCCGGCAGTATTTGGTATCTTAGTTAAGTAAACTTGACGGAAAGTATTGTTATCTACTGTAGGTTACCAATCTAAAGTTGTCCGACAACATACTTTTGATAGGATCCAATACTTCCGATTGTAGCTTTATGATACTGACTTCTCAGCTATACAAAAATATTTACATCACTATGTTTAGGCTCCAAGCTGTAGCAATAAAAGTTGTTTAGGAAAATAGCTTTTTTATCGTCTGTTTTATTAGGACATACTATTTTGTGGGATGTCGTTATTAGCCGATTTATATGGGTTAGTGTCTTTATAGATGACAAAAGATTCCAGTTAAAGTAAGGATAGAGGGGAAAACAGTTGTCCAGGCTCATGACAAACAGTTTGATTTACAATTTCCTTAAACATTTACGTGGATTTCTTCCAAGTTTTATTTCATGATTTATATTAACCAACTTGTATGAACTTTTCTGTATAATACATTTTTATATTTCAGACCCTTGATATATGAAAAGTTCCCTCAGAAGCTTGTTATTTCATTTACAAGAAATATCTTAACCGTACCTGGATTTATACTGCATATAAATTCCATGATGAATGAAGTTAGTGTAATATTTTTAGTGGCGTTAAAATTTCCTTGAAGATTTTGATTGATTTTTTATGGGTACTTTACATCTACTAGCCTTGTTTTTGTTTTTCTGCCTAGTATCTTGTATGTCTTTCGAATAATTTGAAATATATTTTTACAGTGGAATTGGCAACATTTAGGTTGATTTGGACTCACGAGACAAGGTTTCTTATCGGTGCAAAGTCTTCATCACCCATATTGCGTCTTGGTTGTTTATCCATCCGAAGTTCTATCATTTATTACTGAAATCTCAGTTTTTTACCTATAGAATTTCATAAGGAGTATTGAACTGCTGAAAAGGTTTTTGAAATTCTGATAGCATAAAGGAGTTTTTTGTGCCAGATAACAACCCCTAGTATTCATCTCAAATCAATCAAGTTTGCGTTGATTAAAACAAAGTCATATTTCCAATGGTGTGAGGTTTAATCGTTATTCAGTGTCGAACTCATCTTCACTTAAATAGTCAGATTTTTTTTATTAATATGCAAAGTTTTCGTCATGTTAAACCAGTGAATTTATCAAAAGTACCAAGTTTTCATAGCACATTAAAAGTGCTTTTGTTCTGTAGACGTTTACTTTGATAGCTGATAGTTAATTTGTAACTCAGAAGGCATCATATGGAAGATCTTCAGTTGGTGATAAAATTGATAGATTTTCTGAAAATTGCTCTTCAAGAATAACCCGTTGGTAGATAATTCATTCTATAGACTGAATGAGAAAAGCTCCGTCTCACGAATATCGTATCGACTCATGTGGTCTCTAGTTTATTTTAATACGTTTCTCTTTTATTGATTTTCTCTTCTTTGTCACGAAATGTAGCAACTTAAACCAATCCATTTTATGTAATGTTATTTGTTGTTTTGTTTGCTTTATGTATAAACTAGGTGTATAATAACAGGCCTATTGTTCACATTTTCATTTGAGTGTCATGCTTTCGAAAACTCCCTGTGAAATATCAAGTTTATTCTGTTCAGTATTTCTACACTTCATAGTTTGTTTATCAGACCATTTACTTAAAGAATACCAAGTCTCCAAAATATTTTTATAATACTCAGAAATGAAAGTCCTCATGGAGTTGTCGGTATTGTGCTCAATAATTATGCAATGATGCTTTGTAAAAAAATAAGTTTAGCTGTTGAGATGTTGAAGATTTGTAGCTCAGGTGGATTATTTCGGTGGAGTTTTGTCTTCTTAGCTGGATGGTTTGGCCGTGAAACTTTCGTCTTTGTTCTGAACGACATTATCAGCACAAACTTCAAGTAGAGGTTTTATATTCAACAACCATCACGTAGAGTCTGAGAAAATTCCAATAAGTTAAACTTCTCCGACCGTAGAGCAATACAAATAGCTGACATAATAAGATTAGTTTTGACTGTTTCATGACTGTCGTCGCAACATATCATTATCTTGTGTTATTAAAACCTCGAGGCTTGAAAGATATCGTCAGTGTATCACAATGGGGATTTCCAGTGCATTATTTTGACTCATAAGTTCAAATCCAAATCTTTAATTCTTTTTATTCGTCGTTTTTATAATTTCTACTTATTTATAATTTTGAATTGTTTAATCTTCTCATGGATATAAACAATTTCCAATATAGAACACATAATCAAAGTATTGTAAGCAAAACGACTCTTTTCAGCGTCCTTATGTCTCTTTGTCTGAATTTTGTTTTGTAATTGCCATCCTAGGATATATATACCGTTATTATAAAATCTGTATATGTCTCAACTATCCTGACATCTGTCTCTTAAAAACTTTATTACCAATGTGTAATTATTCATTACAGCAGTTTATAAATGAAATCATTTACGTCATTTCACACGCGAATGGAATGGAATTCATAATCTAGTACTCGACTACAAAAATAATGATGTACATTTGTTATTTATACACTTTCCTGTCCATTCACGTATGTAAACAAAGCCTCATCTTAAGTGTGTTTGATTTAATTGTTTTATATATAGGCGTATGATATTATAGTGAACGAGAGATTGTGCTCCAAAATCATCATGACATTATACGATAGTTCAGAAGAGTTCAATATTCTATTATCTAAGCTAGATGGATCATATGTTTTATGCTTGATTGGTAAGAAATGTTAATTTTTCCATTATCTTCATATTCAGGTTGATTTGAACATACAGTCAATCAATAATAATTATAGTTTTGTAATATGCCAATGAGTAGAAAATTGTATATTTGATTTTTCGTGACTTAATTCAAGTCACTTTCTTTTACTTACTAAGAAGAAGTAAATCACATTAAGTCACGAAACGTCAGAAAAAAATTTTTCTACTCACTAAGATACCACAAAATATATTTATTATTATCTTTCTATCCAATGCTCAATTTATTTGAAACTATGAAGCTTAAACTTGGCATTAATACCTACAAATATAGTCAATTATTTTGAGGATTTTCTGTTTGGCATTCAGGTTTCTGTATTGTTGTTATGAACTAAACCTAATTATTTTAAACTGACTTATAGTATTAATGTAATTCACTAACTAAACGCGAAGTTATATGTGTGTTTTGTCGAATTGGATTTCTGCTCAAAATGATCTTGGAGTTTTCTGTAACATTTGTCAAAGTATACACTCATGCTCAATATTCTCAGGTTTTTATCAGTGTGTTCCACAGAATCCATTCTTTATCTCCACTTGACGGGTCCATATTATTGTGTACATTGAGTCGTTGATCAGATTTCCAGACCAAAGCTTGGTTCCTAAACGGGCAGCTAGATCATGTTTTTATCAAATCCCAATAAAATATAGGTAGCAGTCATCTACAACAAACGGTATTAACTAAACTCGTTTAAAGTGGCAACATGCCTGTAAACTACCAGTGTATTAAATTGGTATTTCTAAGACTAACACTACTTAGACTTGAACGTATCACGCTCACATATGAAATTTCACCAATTTTTTAACTACTAGTTCCACAGAATCTGTTGAACAGTGTACACATCATATTTAAATCCATGCTTGAAAGCCTTGGTGGTTAAAATTAATTGGTCTTAATGCTTTACACTAAAGTTTAATCTAAGCTGAAGTGAAAAATTTCGAAATTATCAGTAGTAAATCAGGTAAGAAACAATACACTAAATCATGGAACGTTTCTTTAGAATAGGTAAACTTGATGGATTCATTGAACATTTAACAAAGTATTTTCTTTTCCTCATTAATTATTTCTATAAATATATATTATCTAGCAAATCTTATCCAACTCAGTCTGTTAGAAACTGATATCTTGGCCTCTCATTGTACAGAATTTTGTGTAAGTGTACAAAATTGTTAAGGTATATTTTTTCTTCAGTTGCCTGATAATCTATTATAAAATAATCCAAATCCAATAATAATACTGAAAAGTGACCTTTCTAAAAAAATCTTGACTTATTTTGATTTTAATAGTTGAATTCATGAGTCGATCTAAGCTTGACCATCATCGAAAACGTGGATGCACACTGCTGAGGAATCTCATACTAGTTTTAGTACAAATTTTTGTTTAGTTTATAAAGTTCTTAATCAAAGCGAGATCGTTATTCTCTGCTTTCTATTTTTTAATGCATTAAAAAATTCCGATATCCATTCATAATACAAGCTGTTTTCAAATGTTTTCTCAATATTGATGTGAAAGACGATATTACATCCTCATAAGCTTTTCCTTGTTATCACTGCATGTTATATCTGGAGCTTAGTTTCTTGTTATAACGTGTAAAACTAGAGCACTCGAACACTAGAACCTTCCAAGTCGCAGGTGAGAAGACAGAAGACAAGTGAAAGGAATGCTATTCCAAACAGTGTCATTTATGGTACAGAAATGTCAGGTATTTGTAGTTTTTAGTAAAAACAAAATCATCATTGTAGTCTTTTAATCCATATACAGGGGTCATTTGCATTTATCCAATAGCGAATATACACGTAGGGATTTTGGAGTATTCTTCCAAAAGATGATTGGATGGAATATCTTCGGCTCTTTCCGAGCTTCTTAGAGCCTCCTCGAGTTCACTCGTGGACGGTCCTCACACTGCACACAAACAACAGACATTTGATTTAATTGTTGGAATAGTGATTAGCACTTTTGTGAGGTAACTTACGGATAACTGCTTTCGAAACTGAATATACCGACTTTCGAAGTTCATTCTGACTATCCAAATGAATGCTAGCAAAAAAATGAACGATCGACAACCATGTCGTCTCCGCGTTATTCTTTAAAAAGAAAAAAATGTAAGCAAAACCTTTTCTGACATAGAAATATGAAATAAATATTTTTAGAATTCCACCATCACAAGTCTGTAAATCAGCCGATGATAATTCAAATTCATTGAGCATCCAATGGGTTTAGGGCTTCGAATATCAACCGTTTTCTTAGCCGTTATGATAATTATGTACTTAAAAATGGAACTGCCAGACATCTCTTTGAATAGATCAATATTAATAAAAAAATTTCATAACCGAAGAATAAATGTTTTATTTTTTTTTCACTGTAGGTTGTTTTATCCAAATCTATGCATTATTTGGGTACTTATGTTGGTAGTAAAAAGTCTAATCTTTGCAGTTGGCATCCAATTTTGGGGTGGTTCGCCCAATCACTAGATAATTCGTGAGTTCTTGTAAACGGCAATATTATAAACTACTAACTTTGAGCACTGATTAACTTAACCTTTCTTTTTATTTAAGTCGATGTTAAAAATGCAATGTACCTAAAACCATATTCCACATGCTATTACACAAATCCGAAATTTATGAATTTAGTTAAAATGATAGTGTTGTAATCCTTTTTAAATGAATTTTTAAAAAAATCAAATTGCCGATTGACTTGACTAGTTTAATTCGGTACCACTTGAAACTCATTAAACTGACTACACATCAGTTTCAACAGATTTGAAAAATACCTAGATCTAAATATTATTTAGTATTAATGGTTTTGTTCAATATTATATTTTTTGGTACAACATAGAATTCTCAGCACAAAGTATTTCAACAAGTTTCGTTGTCTTATTTCTTAATCGATCCTGACAATAAATATTGAGTGGTCGCCAGTTAGATGGAAACAGTTTAGGAATCGACATAAAGAATGTTCATTCTTTTCAATCCATATTGTCTGCCACTATGATGTCGCTGATTGTACATTTTCGTAACTTGTACAGTGAAAGGTCGTGAACTTTTCGTAATTGCATCTTAATAGGTTATGCGAATAATAGACATAATAATGTGTTGAAACAAACAAAAACATAACTTGTTGAAATATGTCGATAACAGGAAAAGGTTGCCCAGATATTCAAGCAGGTTGCCTTAGAGATTTGTACTTATGTATAACCTTAGTGTAAAATGAAAGTAATAGTAATTACCAATTTAAAACTAATCATTTCATTAGACACAACTGTTTGAAAAAGATTTTAACGAAAAAAACAAACAAAAATAACCTTGCGATAGATGAGATTTATAGTAGGAGTTATAGAGTTAGGATTCGTAGTCCTTTGATCGAAGGTAAAATTACTTAAATCATCAAACATATCATAAATTCCAGAAAGTTAGAATCCTCATTTTTTGAAATTATTGGTTTTTGACTTCTCTTGTTGAAATAAAAAAAATTCTGTGAAGTAATGGATTGTTTTCATCAAATTGTCATTAGGAATTTGCATTTGAATAAAATATTTTCTAATTGTTAGATTAATTAAGAAATATTTAAATTTCTTAGTTTCAATTACATCAAATAATGATGTCCCAAATAGTTGATTGGATACACATTTCTGAGAAATAGGAAATGGTTTATAAAATGTTATGTTTATTTTGATAACAAGAATCATAATGTAAGTTAGTGCGTGTCAAGTCAAAAACACTTTTTCACAAATTATTTAGAATAGACTGATTGTAAGAAGTAGTAGAATCCTGTAGACCCGTATATTCTTATTAGGTACTCGTCAGTAGGGTGCACCTTCATCTCAATGTTGATTTTCACATAAAGACTTGGTCTCGTTACCTTTCGCTTCAAGCTCTAACATGTTATTCACTGAGCTACTGAGTCCAGTATAGCCATTAAATAAATTTTATAATTGTCATGAGAAAAAAATATTTGTAAATATTTGATTTTTGGGTTGTTCGACAAATCATTTGCCTGATCGTATAAAACAGAATGTAAACTAAGAAAGTGGTTTTCCTATTCCTGGTCAGGTCCAATTCAAATTACCGTTTAATAGTTAATCTAGCGTTCAATAGCCAGAATCCTTTTGTCACGGTTCTTGATAATAAAAAATATGTGACGCTCACTAATGTAATGCTTTTGAACTCATAATATCTTTTGTATGTCGCATAAATCGAATTATAGAGATTACTAAACAAAGTCTAGAATACAGTGTTTAACATAGAAACGACTGATCGTGAAAAGATAGGTAAAATGGTAAAACATATACATGGGAACTTTTGTGATACGTCTCAGTCCCTACCTGAATTTTTCTAGCTTCTTAGCACTGATTCGGTATCGTATTTGCTAAGACCGTGTATTGAACACTATATAAACAGTACTTTATGCAGTACCTTACAGAGATCATATCATTGTTAGATACTTATCTTTACTTAAATCCGTAATAAGGCTACTTAAATTATTGTGGACTTTCAACAAGGCCTTTTGAATTATAAAGTAATGCATCACATTTTGTAAAAATATCCTAAACCTTAAGAATTACATTTGTTATGAGCTTTTAAACAATTCCACCTTGCGTCATTTACACAATTTTGACGATTGTCTCTTATTTTTTAGCACAGTTTATAAGTATTTTAATGGTTCATCAGTTTCTGTGAGATGATGACTAAATAATGTACTGAATTCGATTTGTAAATCTGAGATGTACCATGATGATGTTCATTGATTTCCCATTTTATTTTGTTTTTTTCTGCATTTCTTTGATTAAGCTAATTATTATTCTTACTATTTATATTTCAGCTTACAATCAGCCATGTCCTTTGTAACAAGTCAGTTAAGACTACTCTGGAATGGTCGGATGGTTCGTTTATTATTTGCCGATCTGTATGCGCAAGCTGAGCTAAACTTACCTGAGTTAAGTAAATCGGACGGCCGTTCATCTAGCACAGGTCATCATTCTATGAATACAACTTGTACAAGTCAACATGGACCTGGTGCACCTTCTAAAGCAGAAAAACTTGCTGTGTTAGGGTTATTGCCACCTATTTCACGGATGGGCGGTAGTAGATCGGCTGGCTCTGATGTTGATGGTTATGGGCATCGTGTACGTCATGGTCTTTCAAATTTTCTACGTCAGATATCCAATTCTTCAGCATATCGTGCTAGATTTCGAAATAAGAAAGAAATAACTAATAATTACATTCCAAATCTTTCCACTGGACGTTCAGATAGCCCCGGACCAAGTGATTTACCGAAATCCTTAAAAGCTGTGTGTATGCTTTATTGTTTTACTTCTGGAAGTTTGAAAGAAATTAGAAGCGCTATATTGGCAGGCAGGTTAAATGAACTGAATTCTTACTTTCTTATTAGATTACACTTCATTATTATTTTGTTTACCGAATTAAAAAATGTTTTTACTATCGTCGTGTAATGGAGAATGTCGTTTAGCGACAAATTGGGCAGATTAGTTTGTTGGTGAGAGCTTAAAACAAAATGTTACGTATTTCACATTCAAGCAAATATTCTATTGACTAAAAAGTAAGTTTTGTCAGCTAATCATCATCTGGTATTCATTGAGTTGAAGCTTTTGGATAAGCTGATTTTCATGAACTCTCATCACTCGAACACCTCACATTTATTCAAGTGATTAATCACTCATTCATTCATAATGGTAAATTTATATTTTCGACTTTGAATTATCGGTAATGAGTAATGTATGATACTGTTCTGGTCATAGTTTACTATTTTAGTCCTAATTCACTGTCTGATATATAAAATTTTGGGTTAAAAGTATTTGGATTAGTCCCGTAAGTGAACTACATGTTACAGTTTTTGTTACTGCTCAGTATTACAATCGACACGCTTACTTGGTGGTAGTTTGGGCTTATAGAAATCGAAAAATTTCGGAATAGTGAAAAAACTAATCAAGATATCTTATTACCGACCTAATTGGAGCAGAGATTTAGTTAATAAATCACATTAGGTATAGATTTAGATTATTTTGAGCTGACTTTGTTTAGAATGTACTGAAAGTATGTTAGAAAGCAATGTTATTTAGCTCACTTTTATTTGGTTTGTTGATTTCAACTATTCAGTGAAATAAATATGATCACTTAGCAATTTTTGCAATTTTTTAGGAGTTGGTCTAGAAAAAGCTTTAATCATGCTCAGTGTTTAATTCACTATAGCCGGGATAACATCAGCCAGTCAGTCAGTAACAACGTAGGACTTCGTACGTACGTTAGCACTGAGATACAATTGTCGATTCAAATCCCGTAGTGGTACAGGTAGTAAGAGTATAAGCAGTAATCTGAAAGATTAGGGTCTGAAGATGCTATTCAAAGAGTATAATCTAGTGAAATAAATTTGGAAAGAGAAAAAAGAAAGGGACATGAAGAATTTAGAAGATTAGAATTTGGGAGAACACAAAGAGTGGATGTACCTGCGCCATTGTAAACGATTTTGAGTCATATAATTCATGGTCTCTAACCATCGGTTGCTATCATCTCGCGGTTTCCAACCAGGTAGTCTACACCTACTAATATGACTCAGTCTACTTGTCAGTGACTTCATGGACTTGTGCCATGTTTTGATCTGGCCACCCCTAGCTTTCTTCCAATCTACTCCTATACAACAAAACATCGCACGTCGGGACAGTCAGTGGTTGGGCATACGTAACACATGTCCCAGCCATCTCCACTGATGAATTTTCACTACGTCATCAGTTGATTTGCCATCCTTACTAAAACTCATGTTTTACATCATCTGACCTTCAGTCAGTGGGAGAGTAGGCAGAGACGACGAAGAGGCAACGACGAGTGTCCCTATCTTTTCGGATCCTTACTTTTCCGTTTAGTCGGACAGCGCACAAACGACTGTTTACTGGGATCCAGTCTAAGAGAGCTAGTTCTGCCCTCTACGCTATACGTACGCCGGTGAGGCCTCGAGAAGCAGCATCTGTGCTTTTAGATACACGAAGTGTGAATGGAGTTGGTTCTTTATTTTGACGTGGTGATGTCAAATGAATGACGCTACTCGGATCCTGTATGCGCGTTTCGGAGACGCAGCATACATCGATGGCGCGGGATTCTAAAGTCCTAGCTAAGGAAGCCTGTTGTCCTATTTGGCACAGTGTTCGTACATCAAAAGCTCCTACATGTAGTTTAGAGCGTGGTTTCAAGAGACCAGGAATAACGTTCCGCATACTCGAATCGTTTGCCCCAGCAATGCAAGGTGAAAAAAGGACGTGAGAAGGATTTGTCGTGGAGATAAAAGAGGTATTAGAAGGTGTAGGAAGGATTTGAATGTGACCAACTTGGTCTCGTGTGCTGTTACGGGTATGAGGGTTGGTGTCACTTCCCGGGTGCCCACACCGTGGAAGGGTATTTCTTGAGGAACCAGAAAAGGAAGTTGGATTAATGTTGGCCTTATCGGCCTGGAAGAGTGACTGCAGAGCCCAGGGGATAACTGCTTGAGGCCGGTCGCGCATGGCCTTCTCGTGGGAGGTTTTTATTGTGTTAGCTCCGTTATTCAAAGGGCCTTACCGCCGGAGACGGAAATCCTTGAGGTAAGGTGAGGTATGACATTTTTAAGGTCGACTTTTCTAACCCCTTCCTTCCTTGTGAGAAGGCAGCATCGCTGTAGATGCTGGCTGTCCGAGGGAAACACCTTACTGCTGTCACACCCCTCTACAGTCAGCAGTAGGACTTCGCCCTCAGACCTTGAGTTGCTGCTTTTAGTCTTACCGTTCTCCAATCGACCTGCCTGGCATGGTAGGACCTACAGGAACATATGTTCCAACCAATATAGCTCGGTTGGGTCATCACTATAGCCCGACCACTGCGTCAAGGTAGCAGCTACGGTCGGGGTCAGGATAACATAAATTTCTAGGTCAATATTCTAGTAGCATATCTCCTCAGATCATGATACACATGTGTTAGATATCCTAAGTTATGGTCTTAAGCTAGTTGTCTGTTATGAAAATCTTACTAGTGTTACAGCCGCGACCGAGTGGTCGGGATTTCCTATCTTAGTTACTCTATAGAGTTATATTGTCCGGAACACTTGTTCTTTTAGGTCATATTATGCAAAGGAAGTCGGTTGAAGAACAGTAAGTCTAAAAACAGAAAACTCATGGTCCAAGTCCCGAGTCATACTGCCGACTGTACCACAGTGTAACAGCAATAAGGGGTTTCCTCCTGGCAAACAGCATCTACAATGATGCTGCAAGCGGAAGGGGTTAGAAACGTTTGATTCTAGAAATCTTATACCGCACCTTGCCTCATGGAATAACGTCTCCAGTAGCAAGGCTTTTTTAAACACGAAGCCAACACATTGAATACTCGCCGCAAAAAGACTGCGTTGTTCTTCTTAAGAGTTTCCCCCTTTGATTCTGCGGTCACACGTTCGCGTCACCGATACCATCACTAATCCATTTTCCTTTTCAGATTTCTCATGAGGCAATATCCTTCCTAACATCACTCTAGATTATCTTGTTCACACTCAAATTCCTACCTCACCTCTTGATAACTGTCCCATTCTCACGACCAGCCCTTATCCACGCACCATCGATGCTAATGGTATGAGCTCACGGGATGTTATTTTTGTCTCCTGAAACCCACGCTCCAAGCTACGAGTTGTAGCGTTTGATGTTCAAAACTTATGTCAAATAGGACGACAGACTTCTTAAGCTCAGACGCATCCATTTTTTCTCATACCCTGGATTCTGTGATTCTAAATTACCGTACAAATTTTTATTATTTTCCGATTAATTTATATTTTTTCTTGAATCATATCTTCTCTGCCTAATCATGTTACTACCTTTACTACTCTGAGATTTTCTTTTAAAATTTCATTTCACTGTGCTAGTGGGGTGTGGCAACTTGAACCCATACACATATGTACCAAGTTCTACGTTGTGCATGAGTGACTAACCGCGATGTTACAATCGTGTAGTTATAAATAATAAATTGTGCAATGTTTCCACTTAGATTACTATTTAGGAAATACATCAGAAATTATTCATATATCTGGACATCTATTTTTCGTTTCCTCAAAAAAAAACTACCAAATTGATTAGTTGAGTGTTTCCTTCATCAACTTTCAGAGTATTTACTGAGGAACTGGACAGTTTTTGTTTATTTACATGATGAATTTTCCTCAGGATTCTTTTGTCATGTCTCTTCTTCGATTTATTTGTCCTAGCATAACTTATTATTTTATTGTGTTTCAATAACCAACAATCACTACAGGTTTATCATTAGGTGATTTATTACCTCGTATGTGGCGTTTAATTTCTTGCTGTGGATCTGTACGTGATTGGGCTCATGTGATTATGAATTCACAATCAGTTCACCATTTAGAACCACATGAATCTCATTTGATGCAAATATTTGCTTCAGCTACAAGCAATTTGTTGAGGTATGTTGTCTACTTTTATATATAATACCGGTTTTTACTTAACTGAATATAAGTTATTGAGCCAAGTGCACGTTCATGTATTCAGCTGCTGTCGACACTTTGTGAACATGATATTACTGTGGCTTCAGATCTGAAAAAAGTCGAGCGCGATATAAACCTGTACTCGAATATTTAAAGGTCATTAGTGAATTTCTAAGCAATTCAGTGGATTATTTATAATTGTTAAATTTAAATTGGTCAGAGTTATCTTCATCATTAAAACATTCTATATTCATTCATACATTCTGTAAAAAGACGGTTGATATAAAACAAAATACAAAGCGGTTTGTGTAACGAAGACCATTTGACATCGACTCGCTTTTGTCACAATATGTGGTTAAATCATATTGATATTTTGAGGCACTTCCACGAAAAGTTGGACTAAAAATTTAGGGAACAATATCTATTTATCTGTTTTTATAATCTGGTTGTTTCACTCAATACAATTGACTGTATTCAAAATATTTTACTATGAATTGCGACTTCAAGTTAGTTTTCGAAAACCAGGGGACTACTGTAAATCAGTTACACTTATGCCAAATGTAATGTCCTTCTAGTTGAATGTGTGCTCTTTTTTAAACCTCTGAAAAATAAATAGTCATAATAATTGTTGCGTGTAAACTTATGGCAGTATATTTCATGTTGACAGTATCCTTTCATATTCGAATTGCTCATTCCTGTGTGAACTAGTTGGTACGCACTTGATATGACGGAATGTTATTTGTTCTATATGACAAGTGTGAACTCTGGTTCAATGTGAAAATTTTATTCCCTGTATTAATTCAAGTTAAATATATTTATTGCATGTTTTTAGAGTAACTATGTATTCCCCCTCACCTATGGTACCACAAAGTGTGTATGAAATTTGGTATATGAATGATTGTATTGTGGTCTGAGAGTGATGTGATTTGGTACTTCTTGTCCTTGGGTTTTCGAGTTAATAAACCTTCATTGCATTAATCTTTCACAATCCCACTTTACGTCGTGGGAATTGTACTGATTTCTCAGTGTAAATGGTAGTATCGATTAATTGCAGTTTTTCCCGATTGTCAAGTCGTCAAAGCAGTAAAAACTGTGGTCTCAACAGAAGCAATGCGTACATAACAGTGACGATAGAGCCTATTTTTCAGTTATCACAGTGGGGATTCCGCAATATAACAGCATTGCTTAATGTAATAACGATTACAAGACGATAAATTTCTACAGTGTTCAGTTAATTCTTCAAATATTTTCAGTTCATAATAAAAATTGTTTTTAATTCTTTAAAATTATTTATAAATAAATAATTTTTTTAAAAAAAATGTTTTTTTTTCTTGTGAAAAGTAGATAAATTGATTAGTACATTGTATAATTTACTGTATACTTTTCTTTGTAGTATATTAGATGATGCTGAGTTATTTGAATTGAAAAAATCGTTTACAATTGATGAATTATGTTCAATGGGTTCATTTTTTAATCATTTAATTTATGAATCAGTCATTATGGTACCAGATCGTAAGTGTCAATTATCTTTCATTAATGTGACTGTTTGATCAAGTGTTATTATCTACTCTATTAATAAGGTAAATTTTATTTGATTTCACTAAACAGAAGTAAATTAAATGTATCATTCGGCAAAATACCAAAGTAATTCAAATTAGATCAAATTTACAGGATAATACATCCCTCTATTAATTCACAATGACTAGATTCTCATAACGTAGGTAATCGAAGTTGACAATTGTTAACTGTCTATATCATATCGGTTTACAGATAGAGTTGTAAACAGTGAAATCGTAAAGCCTTTGTGCAGTAATGCATCAGATAAAATTTTCCATAACATTTTATGTAAATAAGATCGTCAGAAAGAGAACATTAGTACTGGTGAAATTGGAAAGCAAAAGTCTTGAAATTCGCACTTGCACCATTTTGGTTGACAGAGGTTCACTTCCTGACTGACTGGTTTACTGTAATTGCTTAAAAATTTCTGGTTAGATTCACTCGGTGATATTGCGGTGTGGGTTATCCACGCAGGTAGTATATGAAGGTGGTCAGGTATAGAATGTATTTCAGTAGAAGGTCGATGAGGAAAGAACGAGAACAGAACGCAATTTGTATGAAAATACATGAACAATGAAATCTGAGACAATGGATTGATGTTTGCAACAGGAACAGTTACGTTTGGGATGACGGATTGATATTTTGCAAATTAACGATTTACTATATATATATATATATATATATATATATATATATATATATATATATATATATATATATATATATATATATATATATATTGAGATATATTGAGATGTTGTGTGATTTCGTGTCAAATAAATTCGATTGTTTCCACCGGTGTTCTTGTTCACTACAATACTACTGGGTACTAGGATTATTTATAAAGTAAATACTCATAAACAAATACTAGTGACCATCTCATAATTGCCAAATTCAAATATCATGTGTTGTAGATTCTCAAATCGTTACTCAATGTTCGAAATATCTTACATCTTATACACATCGCTTGACAGAACTATGATGTTTAAGTATCCTCCGTTAAGTAATGGATTCTTGGATTAAGGTAATCAGATTCATCTCCGTCAACATGTTTGTACTAAAATTGTGTAAGGATGGTATAAAAATTTACATCATGACACAAGAAAGTCGAACGTGCTTTCTAAGCAAAACTCGAGAAATAAGGTTTCATTGAAATCATGAGACAATCTAAGTTAGATAAGCAGTAAAAATCTGGGGGCACTGAACGACTATTTTGTTCTGGTATGGGACTTTACAGCATTGCGCATCCACAGTCCTCCACTCGGTAATCGAACCCAGGACCCTCGGTGTTTCATGTAAACCCCTGACCTCTAGATCACTAGGCCGGTATCCAACAGTGTTAATGACTAACCTTGGTCAACCCATGACCATCCTCCATCGTCTTTTTTTGGGGGAAGGGACTACCTCATACCCGGCACGGATTAGCGTCGCTGGTCACGACTTCTCACCAGGACTCCGGGAATTTCCTCTCGAATCTAGTTGCTGGTGAGCACACGATAATTTTCACTATGGGGTCATGGAGACTAGACTTCCTAAGTTTGGTTCCCTCGTTGGAGATCATGGTTGCGCACCGCCGAACGGAACGGTGATCCAGTGCTTACGGGTTTTCAATGATAGTCAGTTCATGATTTCAGTGAAATTCAACAATTTTTATTGTTGAGACCGTTAGTATTTCTTAAGTTAACTAAATACTTCTTCAATATTGTTTTCTTAAATATTTTTATGAGAATGTCAAGCGTGATAACTAACTGTGAAAATAAATAATTTGTTCCATTTTGCTGTATGTATGTTTATTCTTAGTTTGTAAGTTATAACAAATAAGTTATTGAAATTTAACGACGTGATTTTGCGCTATGACTTAATTTTATAAGAGCTTTCGTTCAATGTTTTATTAGTTAGTACCCTTGACTGTCTGTCACAGTTGCTAGTTCGAACCTCACTTCACCTGCTACTATTCTGATGATATTTGACTATTACAATCTTTTTTACATAAAACGTGGAGCGATAATTTAGTGGTTAAGTCTTCCAACTTTCATCCATTAAGTCACACATTCGAGCCTCACTGTACCTTTTTCATTTGGACAACCAAGTAGTATCATTAGTTCATCATACCAAAGTGCATAGTGGATCAGTTAATTTAATCAAGAAAAGTCGATTATACAATAAAATAAGAGACTGATCAACTTCAGTCCTAAAACATCAATGGGAAGATGCAAACAAAACAATATCAAGTGAATTAAACTTCACCCCATTGCACAAGCAAGTGGCTATCAGGACTCAGTAGCTAAGTGGATAACGCGATAGCGTTTGAAGCGAACGGTACTGAGTTCGAGTCCCAGAGTGAACATCAACTCTGAGATGCAGGTACATCCAGCTGACGAGTCCCAAACAGGACGAAACGCGCGTCCTGGATTCCACTGCTAGCCACTATCCATCTCTGCTTATAATACAATAAAATTGTTATCAGCTCTTTAAAAAAGCCATATAATCAGGTTCAATTTTTAGTAACAATTTTAACGATATTCACTGTAGCTTGTGCAGGAAAGGTGTGCAGACTAAATATATTAAAAATAAAATAGTTAATTTCAATAGATACTTTGATGTAAATAACATAATAATAGCAATAATCATTATTATTTTTACACCTTTCCATTTACATAAATTCCACTTGTGTTTTAATAAAATTGTCTTGTCTTTCTCCGCTTTTATAAAAGCAAATCAACTGAAATTATGGAGTCCGTCTTGTAAAGATGATAATAAATTGAATAAAACCAATGAATCAGTTGCAATGCATGATAAAAATAATAAGTCTGCTGTTCAATCAAACAGTTCATCTACTGTTATGCCTAATTTATTTACAATTTGTTTACGTTTATTATCTGTAATCTATGAACGTGATAGTAGACATTTATTTACACCACCGGATTTTTGGTTAATATCGTAAGTTACTTTGTATAATATATTATACGCTTTTTTATTGTTGAAAAACTGCATGTACTTCACATTTATTCATAGTATAATCCTTACTTTGTATATCAACATGTGAATATGATTATACAGGTGTATATTTGTTATTGAAATCATGAATCGATCCAAGTTACCCGATAATTAAAAATTTGAAAGCATTAGATAAGTGTATCGTCATAGTTTGGAATTTCTCAGCAGTGCACATGCGCGACCCCGCATCTGGGATTCGAACCCAAAACATTTGGTCTCGGGCATGAACGCTTAACTTCCAGACCACTTAGTGGGAATCCAATGGTCTATCAGTCTTCTATTTATTGATGAATTACTTATTATCAACAAATTATTACAGTTAGAATATCAACCAACTTTTGATTTATACATGATCTTGAATTGCACAAGTTGTTAATCAGACAGAGATTAGTTGGGCTAATTACACTCTATACTCTGATGGAAAACATCACGGTTTCTTGGAATTTATTAAAATATGTTTCATCTAAAACGTATCACCATAAATCATGTGAATTTCAATAAAAATTACATCAGTTTGCTAGTTGTCATTGTGCCGTGGATGTTTTAGCTAACGCAATTTAATTTTACTAAAATGAATGGAGTTTTCCTCTTAAGCAAGTATAATATTTTTATCTGATCATTTTGTTTCTACTATAGTACAGTAAATCTTGTTTACAGATAGTTATGACCTAAGTGTTTTGTGTAACGTTTGTATCTTTTAAACCTAAAATATCAGATTAATTACTTTTTTCTGTGTTATTTAAGGTTTGTTGTAAAGACAGAAAAATGAGGAAAAAGAATCCTAATTTTTCCTGTTTGTTTTTATTATAGCGCTGACAAATTCTATAATCATTTACATTACGTTTTCTTTATTTTCTCCTTTCTTAATTTCGGGTCATTTTCGTTGAAATCACACCTGATAAATTAAAATTTTTTCGAAATCAGAAATCTCAAAGTTTCGGCTTTTCTAGCAGATCTACGGAAACCGAAACCACATGCGACGTTTCTACTCAAGCATATCCCGCATATCATTCCGCACAAAGAAGTATGTTATGCTATTTAAATGTTAATGAATGAATTTTTTTCTAAGCGTGTTATTCTTTTTCGAGATTTTGTACGCGAAGACAAAGCATCACTGGGGATACATACTCGTACAAATTGGCTTACAGATGATGGTCCAGTTGGTGCTGTCATAACAGTTCATAGAAATCGTATTGTTGAAGTAAGTTTTGATGCATTATTATTATCATCATCGATATGTAGATAGAAGTATATTGTGAAGTAGTTGTGACGTAACTATGTTACTAATTCACTTTGCTTCACTTTTAGGACGGTTATCAGCAGTTGGCAAATTTAACTTCGTCTCAGTTACGTATGAAGATACGTGTACAGTTTGTAAACGAAATGGTATGTTTGAACTTAGAGATAAATCATTTTATGTAGTTGTAATGCTTAACGTTTTTGCTGTATAATTCTCGGTGTATGTTACATTTGATAATTAAAAAGTAGACTTTCGCGAGAGACTATACAACTTATGTGCCTAATGTTCTCTGAGGTAAATAACATCAATTTGAATGTAATGCTTTTATTCAGGAATGAATGAACTGAAACACAAAAAACAGAGCTACCATATACACATGGATTTAGAAAATCAAGACTTAGCTTTCTGAAAGATTGATCTGTGTTCAAAAAGTGTTGTATTATTGAGTTTTAATCATAGTCATTTGAAATGTAAATGGAAGTCTTCCAAAAGTAGTTCGATTTCTTCTTTTTTGGTTTCTGAAGTGTTTCCCACACATTTACAGAGGACAGAAATGCATATACATATTTATCTATCTTTTTTTGGACAATTCACCATGTACTTTTGTTGTAGAATAACTCTGTGCATATTGTAGCAAAAAATAACTGGCATACAGTAAAATTAGGAAAAGTGAAAATAACCAATCAAATGTCAACAGAGGTTGTTTCGAAAATATGAATTAGAAAAAAATATTATCGTTGTTATCCTTACGTTGAGAAACTATCATTTATTAATGAAAAAGAACTAGATAATCAGCAATTAGTAGACTGTAACCACTAAACTGTTCAGCATACTAAGAAAATTATACGATTCTGAGCTTTATTGAATAATGGTAGGTCTGATTATTTAGGAGTTTGTTCGTTAGGTGAACAGGTATCAATGACAATTTTCTCACCTCTTTACTTATTTAATGTGTACGTTAATTTCAATTTTATGATTCAGTCGTTCATTGTTTTATCTGTTTTAATATTTTAATGTGTAGGGTTTAGATGAAGTTGGTATTGATTTAGACGGTGTGTTTAAAGAATTCTTAGAAGAAACTCTTCGTCGTGTATTCGACCCTAGTTTAAATTTATTTCGTGTGACTAATGACCAGCGTTTATATCCGTCACCTACTTCACATTTACAAGAAAGTCATTTACAGCTCTTCGAATTTTTGGGTAAAATGCTTGCCAAAGCTGTTTATGAGGTTAGTGATTTTTATATCCAATCTGTGTACTATCTAATGCTGATAATGAATCGTGATTTTTTTTAAAGAATTCAAATTAATATCCGTTTAATCAGCTTTGGTTCGCACTTTTTATATTAGGTCTAGTGGTACTACCAGTTAGGTTGGGGTTCTAACATACATAAACTTAAAGTATCATTAACCTCTCCTCAATAATTATTTAGTCTGGAGTAAAGACAGATTATACTTGGGTTAGATAAGCACCTGAATGGTGCATTGTTTTACCTCTGAGTTATTCATATAGAATTAATATCGAAAACTCTTCATGTATAGGTAATTTTACTAAGGCCATTTGTCACTTGTTATATTATTCTAATAATGCAACATAAAATCACCAGTGTGTTATCTAAAGTTCCATGTTTATATCACTGGTACTGATAAAGTAAAAACTATCTAAATCAAAACAGAAGTGTTTGAGACTAAAGTCAAATTATTCTTACAAACCTTTTAACTAATATTTCATACTGATTTGGAAAAATTTCTACAGAGTTCTAAGTATGATAGCCAGTGCATTCGTATATCTATTTTTTTTATTACTCCTACATGTTCTCGTGGCTTTATTTCTCATTTAAATGAACGCTAAAAATAATCGAGAATCAATACATCTTAGTGATACGCATATATTGATTTTTCAGACAATAATCTATATATTATTATCTCATGAGTGATGATACTGTTCTATTTCATCAACCACGTTTAAATAATGGAAAAAGCTGCGGTGTAAAACGTATGCAGTCAATCTCAGTTTCAACTTGGTATTTCTAAGTATATCCAGGGCTTATTTTTGTAGATCTGTTTTTGTTGGAATCCGAATAAATCATATAAACGTTTGTCTAACTGAATAATCAGTAATGTGAATAATTCACGTTCTATGTGCCACAAAGGCACTATTGAAATTGTGTAATTATCTAATACCTTGTGGTAATGTTCAAAAGTAATTGAAGTGAACATGTAGGTTGTATAACTGTGTCGAAACTTGATGATAGTTTATCAGCAAGCAAAAACTAAAATAAGAGCAAACAACATGAAAGCCGTTGCGTTTAAACAAGGATTAAATGATCGCACAGAATTGTGGATAACTGCTTCAAGGATTGAAAGAAATTGACTATAATGATAACTACAATAAATGTTAAACCATATATATGTAAACATACGTGTAGTTGTTAGGAATACGACTGTTTACTCAATGTTAATAAGTAGCATAAAACAATGCACAAAAGAGCCGAAGAGATGTGAATGAGGTGAGAGAACGTAAAACTAACTTAACACATATGGTTATTCATTGTGCACATATATTCTCATTCGGGTCATCAGAGTTACATTTATCTGTCAATAATAAACAAATGGACACATTGTCATGGAAACACATATGGCTAGTTTTTAAGATTTTATTCTAATTGTTACGTAGTTATGACATTGATAAGTTATCGCACCTTTTATAAACAGTGATCAGTACAGAATTCACAGTTTCCAAGTTACTTGAATCATGTGGTTGAATGGTATTTACTTTGCCGTAGAAATAGTAATAATAATAGAATAATCAGATGTTTTATGTATTATGAAGCCGTGGTCAATGGAATTCAAGCATGTATGTTGTGAGCCATTTACTCACTGAAGACAATGGTCGACGGTCGCGCAACATCGTGGATTGGGTGAATTTAGACGTTAACACCGGTAGATGCCGGCTCACTGGTCTAGAGGTTAAGCGTTCGCGCGCGAGACAGTAGGTCCTAGGATGGGGTCTCACATGCAGGATCGTGGATTCGCATTGCTGACGAGTCCCATAGTAGGACTAAACGGCCGTCCAGTACTTTCAAGTTATCAGTGGTGGCCTGACATTGGCCTATTCATGATAACAGTCTAAACTGAACATTCTTCACAGCTTTATACTGATTATTATGAATTAGCTAATTTTCATAATTTCTAGAACACTTCAGTTATCATTCGTTTGTTTTCATACTTTTCTTAGTGTATTGTTGTGGATGTACCATTTGCAAATTTCTTTTTAACTCAATTACTTGGTCGTGAAAAAGCTGGATGTTACAGTTTTCTTGATGAATTAGCCACATTAGATAAAGAATTATACAAAAGTTTAAGTTATATTAAAGTTAGTTGAATTCTCTTAATTTTTATAGTTTAAATTGTCTCACAAATATAACTAAAATAATTCACATAATTTCTTCCACGTTATTACTTTAAAAACACTAAACGGTTTGTTTATTTATTATTTATTTGAACGCATAATCAGTGATAAAGGGGGCACCAAATACATATGCACCACACAATAACAACGTGGTCGAGAAGAGATACAGAACAAAGGATGAGTATAGTAAAAAGAAAAGCAACAATGAACACAAATTAGTGTATGAGAATGAAATAACATTAATAAAAAGAGAAGTAGTCCAATTAGGAAAACTACAACTAGAAATTGTTCTTTCAGTTAATTAAGATACGTTCACTTTTATGTAGAAAGTAAAAAAAGCTACAGCAGGATCGCCACTAGCTTCTATTCTGAGCGCCCCCAAACGCCCTGGTATGGTCGAGAGTGGGGCGCGCCCGCCTTCCCTCTCGAAATGCTCTCGCACGGCCATGCGTATACAGCCTCTGCCAGGGAAGTCCTACTCACTGCCTTCTCATAGCGGGGTTGTTGTTTAAGAAAAGTGAATGTCCGGCGCTTTAACCAGATCCCAAACCAACGGTGCACATGGGGTCCAGTATCCTGAGGGAACAAATGGCGTACGAACCAATCTTGGTCACCGGCTACCATGGGACTGCATCTCCTCACGATGCTCCACTGCCTTGCGGGTTAGACTTTTAGGTCAAAGGCTCGGGGTGTGGCCCTCTAAGAAAACTACCTGCTTCGGTCTGGGCACCCGGGCAGTATCACAGTCCACACATAGGTATAATGGTAATGAAAATGACGGTATTTACTGAGAACTCTATTCTCGCTTCGATTTACAGTCAAACAATTCACATAATAATAATAATAATAACAATAATAATAATAATAATAATAATAATAATAATAATAATAATTATTATTATTATTATTATTATTATTATTATTATTATTATTATTATTTACTACGTCATTTATCCACTCTCTTTTATTCCTACTTAATGTATCCTTATTTTTCCACTTATACATCAGCTCGTCTATGGTGGAAATTCGACTCTATCTAAAAGTTCTCGAGTCACTGTCCGGTTGAAAATTGTATTTTACCAACGAATATGAGTACTGAAGCAGTTTATCTGAAACCACGTGCACCATTCAAACTGGCTGCATTCAACGTTCGCACACTTATGCAGGTTGGACAACAGATATGGCTGGGTATGTCTTTGGAAAGTCTTAATATCGATGTTTGCTGTCTATCTGAGACCCGTATTCAAGACTCTGGTGAAGTACTACAAGTTCTCTCTTCATCTTTCGCTTCGAAAAGCTTGTTTTACGTGCGTCTATCTGGGGACCCTATGGCACCTTCGTCTGGTCTTGCTGGCGTTGGTACCGCACTAAGCGCTAGAGCTGAGGCAGAACTAATCGATTGGACCCCCATTAACAGTCGGTTGTGTGTTGTTAGATTAGAGAGTTCCATCAAAGTGAGAAGAAATCAGTGTGAGAAACAATGTCTTTTCGTCATCTCCGCCTTTGCCCCGACAAATTGCAACCCGGATGCAATCAAGGATGAATTCTACTACCAGTTAACTGTTCTTCTCCAGAAAGCGCGTTCGACAGATATTGTAGTACTAGCCGGAGACTTGAATGCTCAGGTCGGGCGTCTAGGTACAGAAGAGAATCGCTTAGGTGGCCGATGGGGACTTGTTGGTCGCAAGACAGATAACGAGGACCATCTACTGCAACTGTGCACAGACTACAATGTTTCTGACTAGCACTAACTTTTGGCACAGTCATCGCCGATGTGCCACCTGGCGTCCTCCCTCTGCATCTCAAGTCTGGACTCAGATTGATCACATCGCGATCAGCTACTGCTGGCGTGGTTGTGTACAAGACTGCCACTCCTTTTGGAGTACCTATCTGAACTCTGAACATGCTTTGGTCTGCGCCAATCTTACCTTACTTTTCAGTGGACAACGAAGTGACCGCCATCAACGGATTGATATTAGCAAGCTGGTTGCAACTTATGTTGCAAGCAAGTATCGAACCAAGCTAGCTTGTAGGCTAGCTACCATTCCACCGAAAAGTTATAGATGAGCATTGGTTGCAACTTCACGACTCCATGAACATGACGAGAAAAGCCACTTGCGACTTCGCGAAACGTCCCGCTTATAAGCACTGGGTTTCTTTGCTCATCTTATAAGAAGTCGCAGATGTTATTGTTTACCATCCCATCAGCTTCACAGGTTGTTTCACTCACAGCAGACTTCTTGTTAGTGTCTTTCATGAGTTCGTTCCAGTCGAGGATGTATTGATCATATCTTCATCCTCCGCCAAATGTTAGAACAGCGCCATATTTATCAAAGGCCAACAATCGTATTGTTTCTTGACATCAGGGTTGCCTTCGATTCGTTGGACAGGACTGTTCTCTGGAATTGTCTATTGAAGAAAGTTGTGCCTGAAAAGTTTATTAACATCCTAAAAGCCCTATATACAAACACCTCAGGAAGAGTGTGGGCGTACAACCACCTCTCTCCATTGTTCCATTCAAACAGTGGGGTTAGACAGGGTTGCCCAATCTCACCATTCCTCTTCAACTTTGCCATCGATGACATTCTAGAAACAGCTCTGATGGATGTAAGTAATGGCGGTGTGGATCTGTTGCCCGGAGAAAGACTTCTTGACCTTGAGCATGCGGATGATGATATTGTCGTACTGTGCGATAATGCCCAAGGCATGCAATCCGCACTTAATCAGTTGGCAATTATTGTCCGTAGGTATGGTATGTGTTTTGCACCTTCGAAGTGCAAAGTACCTCTACAAGACTGGCAGGATTCTAATCCTGTACTCACGTTGGATGGTGAGCAGATAGAAGTAGTCGAAAAGTTCGTGTATCTGGGTAGCTGCATAAGTGCTGGTGGTGGTGTGAGTGATGAGATCAATGCACATATAGTGAAAGCCAGAATGGCTTATGCCAATCTGGGCCACCTTTGGCGCCTTCGTGATGTTAGTCTGGCTGTAAAAGTTTGGATCTACAACGCGTCGGTGAGAGCAGTTCTGCTCGATGCTTGTGAAACCTGGCCACTCCCGGTTGAGGATGTTAGACGACTATCTGTGTTTGATCATCGTTGTCTACGGAGGATCGCTGACATCCAGTGGCAACACCATGTTAGTAATGCAGAGGTTCGGTATCGTGTGTTCGGGCACAGAGACGATAATCCAATTGGTGTCACCATCTTGAAACATCGAATTCGGTGGCTTGGACATGTTCTACGAATGTTGTCCCAGAGAATTCCTCGCTATGCATTGTTTTTTGACTCTGGGACTGGTTAGGAAAAGCGGAGAGGTTGTCAGTATATGACATGGTGTCGTGGGATGAAAGGAAGCTGCAAAGGACTGGCTTGTGTTGGTCCTTCTCGACTCCCTGGTTGGGGTCCTAGAGATGGTGCTACACAGTGGCTAGAGACGTTATCAGATATGGCTCAGAATAGAAGCCAGTAGCGATCCTGCTGTAACCTTCTTTTACTTTCTTCATAAAAAGTGGTTTTGTCTCCCTTAACTGAGAGATTTCTTCTGATTGTACCTTTCCGTTCCCCCATTTTTACCATTATTATTACACCACCTTACATCAATCTCCTCGTTATTATCCTCTCTTTTTTTCCTTCCCCTTAAATTTTCATTGTTTTGTGTGGGGCATATATATTTGGCTCATTCTTGTACCAATATTTATGTGTTCAAATAAATAAATATCCTTATACACAATCTTTCTTTTATATATTACCACCACTGAATTAACTACTTTGATGAATCCGGTGTTCATCTTGTTATGCTAATGAGGTATGTCAACTTGGACCAATGCACATATGTGCTCGGTCCTATGTTTCAGCTGATTGATTGATTATTATTAAGATCTTATCTTCAATCAGCTCACACTATTATTACGTCTGTGCTACACATGTATTTGTTGAAATTTCAGGGATTATTTTGTGTTTAAATGATGATCACATGTCGTTTGTTGGGGTGCTAGAGATGGCGCAAGACAGTGGCTAGAGACGTTATCAGATATGGCTCAGAATAGAAGCCAGTGGCGATCCTACTGTAACCTTCTTTTACTTTCTTAATAAAAAGTGGTTTTGTCTTCCTTAACTGAAAGATTTCTTCTGGTTATATCTTTCTGTTTTCCCCATTATTATTATTATTATTATTATTATTATTATTATTATTATTATTATTATTATTATTATTTATTACACTTCCTTACACTAATTTGGTCGTTATTGTTCCTATTATTCTTTTTTCTTCTTTTGCGCCTCTTACCATTTTTCCCCATTGTCATTGTTTTGTGTTGCGCATATATATTTGGTGCCCCTTTGCACTAATATTTATGTGTTCAAATAAATAAGTATATTCTGAGCCATATTCGATAACGTCTCAAGCAACTGTGTTGCACCATCTCTAAGACACCAACGATGAAGTCGTGAAGGGCCAACATATACCAGTCTTGTACAGCTTTTTTTCATACCACGACACCATGTCATACACCAACCACCTCTCCACATTTCGCAAGTAGCGCGTGGCGTGGAATCTTCTGGTATGACATTCGTAAGACATCTCCAAACCACTAAAGTCGATGTTTCAAAATGATGACACCAATTGAATTATCGTTGCTGTATCCAAACACATGATGCCGAACCCCTACAATATGGTAGTGCGACCAAATTTTAACAATCCTTCGTAGACATCGATTAACCAACACGGAGAGTCATCTAATATCTACATTCAACAGAATCTACCAATAAACTATCCTATAAAATGTTTTTTTCTCCTAATATATACTATTTTGTAAACATAATATGAAAAATTTGTATCCTGGGATCGATGGTCGAAACTTACTCTTTTTAATTCTGTTTTGCTATTTCGTTTGACTAAGAAATGTCACGATTCATTACATTAACCAACATCCTGTACATTGATTATCATAAAATGTCTGAAGTTTTGAAAAACGTTGCTGATTTCATCATTACTGGACGATACAATACCTAACTTTAACTATCCTAATAATATTAGTATCAGTCAGTTTATACTTTCCCATGTAGTCGTAGTTCAATAAACTTCAATACTTATATTAGCAATCTTTTCTCATTGTTTGCGGAACTCTCGCCAATTTATCTTCACTTAACGTTAGGTAAGTAATTCAAATGACCATCAAGCTTATATAAAACTTCTCAACAGTCTAAGCGAACGCAGTATTGTAGCCTATCAGTGTGTTGGTTTCATTTAAAATCTCATGTGTAAAGTATATATTCTCAGACTAATGAAAACAATCGGTATCAAAACCCAACCGTCCTCACATGTAATGTTTCTCCAACCATCTTGTTTCTTAATGTCTATATGAAAGCAAGCATACTCAGGTATTTTTACAGTATCGAAGCTGCTAATTTGTAACAGATTTAGATATATTCAATAATCATTTAGCGACACGACATTTTATCTTATTTCAAATACATTCATAACCGTGGAAAAGCGTCATCCACTTTCAGTATGCACAAAATTAATCGTAAACTTTTTTCAACTTTTCTTGAAACAATACGTCTATTATATATATATATATATATATATATATATATATATATATATATATATATATATATATATATATATATATACTACGGTTAGTGTGATCTAATTAAATAAATCGACTAGTAAAATTCTGAATTCGTTTTACCAATCTATGACTGTCAGTATGGTCATGACAACTTATTTAGTCATGAAACGCGTTGTACCATAAAAATTATCAAATAGATTGACTAAATATTTCGTAAATTGAGATTCGACATATTCGCTATAATCTTTATTGGATGTGCATTCTTTTGTGTGTTAATGTGAGGCTATGGCTTAGTGGTGAAAAATTTTCCAGTGGGTAACCGATTGAAAATAAGTTGGAATCCTGCTGTAATCATTTTTATTTAAATAATTGAGTTATTATTAACCTTCACAGGAGGTCTGTTCCATTGGTGAATGGATCAACTTGTTAATGGGTTACACTAACATTTTCAAAAGTCATTTATATTGTCAGTAATTTTTTGTACTTGATGTTTTTTCGGTATTCACAATCTAAATTGTATTTTTTCTTAGCATTATGATGGAGATGTTTCCGATCTGGAATTCACTTATTCTTATGCTGAAGATTGTCTAGGTCAAGTGATTATACATGATCTCTGTCCTGGTGGCCGTCAAATTTCTGTAACGAATGATGTCAAGTAATCTATTTCTTTCTCCTTTTTTACACCTAAGTAATTTCATGTTAAATGTATATAAAGCATTGAAGTAAAGTGTTTATGTTTAGAATGTACACATCTTGTTCCCTAATGAGGTGCTTCTCAATTTGTGGTTTATAGCGGCAAATATTTACAACTTTTGAACGTTACGTAATAGTTGAAACAAACAACTTGTTGTCTATATGTCATATTACCCCTCCCTAATGCCCTACTAAAAACGAGAGGTTTTAAGATTTCCTTCGGAATTGGATATAATGTTGATTGTTCGAAATTTTCCCGCTTTCATTATACTGTATATGTGTTAGTAGTGTACAAAACCTTAGACTTCGTCAATTTCCGATGTTTCATGTTCAGCTAAATGATAATATATTCTTTATTTCCAAAGTCAATTAACATTTGTTGGGATATTCGGAAAAATATCCCAGAAATTATTCTGTTAAGTCTAACGCTATCCTTGGACTTAAGATGGTGTCATTTCCTTACTGGTCAATGTTTATTTCACGTGTCATTTTCCTACTGGTCAATATTGTACAATGTTATTTTCTATTTTAATGGTACGATGTGGTCTGCTTGATTAGTATATAAACAGAGTGTGTGTGAAATATAATGATTCATATCTCCGAGGCTGAGACTTGCGTTCTGAACTCAACTGGCTGGGCTAGACAGGGAGGCGGGACCAATCAGAACTCTAGGCTGTTCTTACGTGTTTGCGCGTCTTTGGTCCGATCGATAATTCGCTACCCTCTAATATGCCGTCACACAGTTATAGCACCATTGTAGTTTACAATTTAATTAGTTGATTTATTGCACAAATTTAATTTCAAAGCGGTTTGTAAAATTGTTATTACACATTCCCAGTCAGTGGGAGTTTTTCTTTTCAGCTAAAATTATTGATTATATATTAAGGTGTTTCCTTCTTACTGAATGCTTCAAAGACAAATTGATTTGCTGCTCACAGAAATTAGCAACGACTAGTTACTTACTTACTTACGCCTGTTACTCCCAATGGAGCATAGGCCGCCGACCAGCATTCTCCAACCCACTCTGCTCTGGGCTAGTTACTTCAGTAATATTATACTTAGTAAATCTACTTATGTTTTCACATTTGAAATTTAATTAACAAATGACGTTATTTAATATTTTGGCCGTTGTAATATTAGATAATGTATTCAATGTTCAAATGTCTTTTTTAAATTTCAATTATGCCTTTTTTTGCATAAAGAATAAGTTACGTTCATAGCGTTGCTCACTTTCGAATGTATAAACAAATTAGAGCACAGACTGCTTCTTTTATACGGGGATTTTATTCTATACTAAATCCTGATTGGTTGGCTATGTTTTCTCCATCAGAATTACAAACACTTATCTCAGGTGATAGTAGTTCAATGGATATTGATGATTTAAAGTAAGTAAACAATAAATATTAGGTTTATATTTTGATGAAATTTATCTTTGTAATCAGTCAATTAAACTAATCGTATGATGGGATTATATAAAATTAGATTGATCCTTATTAGTATTATTGGCTTTATTCAATATTATATTTCTGGTACAATATAGACTTCTCAGCATAATGTATTTCACCGTGTTTCCTTTTCTTATTTGTTGATCGATCCCTGAGATAAATATTAAGTGGTCGCCAGTTAGAGGTTAGCAGTTCGGGAATCGATATTTGAATAATATACATTCTTTTCGATGCATATTGCCAGCAACCATGATATCTCTGCTTTGGCTCTTTTGTAACTTGTACAACGAAATTTTGTAGACTTGTCACAAACGCTCCTGAATAGGTTATGCGACTAATGGGCATAATGATATATTCAAACAAACAAGAAAACAGATAACTTGTTGAAATATCCAGATAGCATGAACAGGTAGCACAGATATTCAAACAGATCGCCTAGTCCATTTTATTGCTTGATTGATTATATATATGCCTACATGTACATTTTTCTTGTGCATATTTATATTGATTTTGTACCTAAATGTTGAAAACGGATGACACTTTCACAAATTAAATCAAATAAACATCACTGCTTGGTGCACTTTAGATAGCCCACGAATTCCTTGGTATATCCGTGGATGAGGGAGCCACTGCACCCCCACTTGAAATGTTCTCATATGGCCGTGTGTGGATAGCCTCCGTCAGGGTACTTCTACCCACTGCCTTCTCTTGGCGCGGTTGTTGTTTATGAAATAGAAAGCACAAAAAGTGAAGCTGAATTAGTGGATATGGAGGATCCATGTAGGGTAGTTGGAAAACCCCGATTCCAAGCCAGTGATGCATATGGTCTCCAGAATTCTTAGGGGATGGAATTGAGTGTAGATCTATAGTCAGTAATTGGTCACTACGGAACAGCATCATTTAACGTTTCTCTACTGCCTCGTGAATTAGATGTTTAAGTCAAATGCCTGGGGAATGCCCCTCTGAGAAAACCATGTACTTAGGTTTGGGCACCCATGTAGTATTCCAGCACATACACAAAGGTAATGATAACAACTTTGTTTAGTTCATATATATCTTGGTGCCTTTTTGCATCAATGTTTATGCGTTTAAATAATATATAATGCTTTCCGGATATAAATGGTTAAGTAATTTATTTCAAATGTATCTAGTCTGAAATCTGTTGGTATCATTTTAAAGGACTTCTATTGTTCATAGTTCAGTTTACCACTAAACAGTTTCTACCTTAATATATAGGCTTTCCTTTAATTTTGCAGACAACATACACGTTATTCTGGTGGATTTCACAGTAATCATCGTGTAATTCGGTGGTTATGGGATATTCTAAGGCGTGATTTCGACGATAGAGAACGTAGTTTATTTTTGAAGGTAAGTTGTTTTCGTTTATTTCTACTCCATCACATACACAACTAGTTATTATTTCACTGTCCGTCACACAATCCATATAATAATGTCAATCATGTCATAATTTTAATTTTTCTGACAAGAAACCGGTACAGTTTAATTTATAGGTAATGTGTTCTCTGTTTACACTTATTTGTGCTATTAATGATTCATTTAGTTGTGTTTAAATAGAAGTATGTCGACAGTGGGACTTGCACTTTGATTGAAAAATTTATGGCGTATTGTATTACTAGCTTTAAAGCTGCTATCTAGGACCTTATTTATTTAATACATTTGTGTGAATCTTATGCCACTTGTAGCCAAAGAACTCTTAAGTGGTATATATGTGCATGTTTTTGAATTTTATACGCCATTATCCTTTGTTATGTCGTACAACAAAGTCTACAATAACTAGTAACCAGTTAATAATAGATATATTATTTTTATATCCCAATGAGTAGAAAAATTGTATTTCTGACGTTTCGTGACTTAATGTAAGCCACTTCTTCAGAGTAAATGGGTAATATTACCTGTAGTAACCAGTTAGTTTACAGTAATATTTAATAAGTCACATGATTTGCAGGCGGTTGATTGTCTAATATGTTAGTGACTTTAAGCTCTGTACACAATGTATTGTCAATTCTTTTTTAGTGTCTACTCATAATACATAGTTCATAATGTTTTTTCTTAGTGGGATTTTTGCATCCTTGGTTACGGTTTAATTCGTTCAGTCGAATAATCAAAGTTGTTCAACTGATACAATTAGTTATTTTTGTACAACTCGTAAATGTGTTGGTTCAGTAATTGAATTGAAGGTTAATAGGTAGACAGTCAACTGATACAGTTAAATGTTATCTCACCAGTTAGCCATAATATACTTGACCTGTCTCTACATTAATCTCAGAAACGTTTCCTATAGACAATATATACATAAACTTTTACATTTCATACTCCCTCAGTATTTAGTGAAATAAAGTATTTCATTTATTCTCTACGTAATAGAAATCAATTGTTTTCGTTTTTTCTACAGTTTGTCACCAGTTGTTCTAGACCACCTCTTTTGGGGTTCGCTAATCTTGAACCACCATTTTGTATACGTTGTGTACATTATACTAATGAAGATCAAGTACGTTACTTTAAATTATTATTAAAATTACCTTGATGAGTAAAACATAAAGGCAAGTTAACGAAGATTACTTTATGTTTATGAGATTCTACCAATTATTATTGTTAGTTATTGATATAAATCAGTGATAGAGAGAATAACTAAACGACAAGGCCTTACCTTCTTTCCATGCTAAAACTGTCCATAATTAGTGATTTTATCTTGTTAACGTTAGAATGACAATTGATATTTTGTTAGTAGAAATATTGTGAGAAGATAAAACTATAAGTCTGAAAACAAGTTGTAAAGTGTACTATGGACGTATAGAGGAGAAAGATGTGAATAGAAATTCTATTTGTTAGAAAACTTATATTATTAACTTAGAAATTATAACTCAAATGTGAAAGTAGGAAAATTCGTGGGAGATGGGTTTCACAATGATGCATTTCACCTTCGACAATTTTGTCATAACCTACAACTGATGACATCTAGATATTTACGTTCTTTATCTAATCGATGTATTTACTGTTAATGAATTTCTTGTTTTGGTAAATATTTTCTCATATTTTTACTTTTGATTTCTACAGGATGTCGGTGATACTCTAGGATCTGTACTGAAAGGATTTCTGGGGGTAGTTGGTCGCCGTGAAGAAGTATCTCGCCTACCAACTGCGTCTACTTGTTTTAATCTTTTAAAATTACCTAACTACTCGTCTCGTAGTGCATTGAAAGAAAAGTTAAGATATGCCATAAATAGTCATGCTGGATTTGAACTATCGTAGCGGAGAAATTTCTTGACAAGCTACAAATAATATGTACTTATTATTTTTATGATGAAACGCTGTAAATATATACTATGTTTAATATTTTCATCTCATTTGGTCAATTATTTGATGATCAACATATTTTTTGTCTAATTTCACTTCGTTCTTTCTAATTTGAGTTATTCACATTTTCAATTCATGGTGATTATTCACCAGTGCCATTGGACAATTATATTATAATACTATGATATGTTTGCTAGTACGTTTAAATGACTGCAGTGATTGTAGACAGAGGCTTTGATCTTGTCATTCTGATAACCGCCAAAAAGTGCTCTTTTCTCATTGTTTTTATTCTTCTCTATTCCCAAATATAATGATAGAATTGCCATTTAATTTACGACATTAGTTTCATTCCTTGGTGCTTTGTTGTCCCCAGCGGGAAACATCACTCAGTTATCTAACAAGTACTTAAAAACACGCTGTCAAAAAGAAATGGTAGTCATATTTCGAATTCACTTTTTAATATTCAACACTTGGGGTATAGTTCAACAAAGTGTCGGTCGGTAATGTGTATCAACCTAAGTTATCGTATCACATCACTGCGGCAGAATAAGTAGCAAAAGTCAATTGTGATATCACAAATGGCATTAACGGTGATTAGACATTAAAGCACAGGGCTCGAGAGAGGTGATTTTGTGTAATTAAAGGTGCAAGATAATATTTAAGGTCACCAATTTGAGGAGGCTGGAGACACCGGTGTCATTAAATCTTGGCGTGGAGGAGGTTGCGTGACCCAACAAATCCCAGTAGTCAACTCTGCGACCCTAACCAATATTCAACAACTAGACAGTCAGTGGCATCGTCGTTTAGTCCCGCTTATTCATCTATCAATACTCATCCGATTTGTCACAGAAGACATTGCACAGCGTAGTAGAAGTTAGTCTCACATATTAGATCGTTTCGAAGTTCAGTATGTTCGCTTGATACTGTAGAGCAGGTCTCGTCTTGAACCGTAGATATTTTGTAGTTCGTTTTGCGAATGAAGTGATTCAGAGTGGACCGCTGCATTTTATTCTTGACTGGCGGACTGTCACTTACCTCGTCGAAAAGAGGCACTAGTTGGAGAAACCGAAATGAGTTTCCCTATTTTAAACCAAAATAATGCCAAATGCAAGAGCCAGTGAAATTTAATCATACGAAGGGTTTTCAAAACTACGTCTATCTTCATGATGAGCTAAAACATTGACGAGAACGGGTCATTAGCGTTTCTGAGGTTGTACACATGGAGGTCAGGGTATCCATCAATTTAAGCGGCGTCGTATATAGTAGCCAATACTCTATAAACTGTCTCATTTTGTTGCACTTTTTACCTTATTTTCCATACGTAGATCTTATAGCTTGAATTGCTACAGTCATAGTGTAACATGTTTTTGCGGAACAGAAAATCTTTCTCAACCTTGAAAATTAGTTCTGCTCAACCGTCTAGGAGAACAATTTGATCATAGTGCAAAAATTCTAGATTGGGATCTGAATGCTTCCTCCAGTTGAATGAATTCTGAATGAATCAGATGGCAACTTTTTGCTTTGTATTCTGAAACCCTACAGAGATTTCTGTCGAAATATTTTGCAGCGTGACCCAGAATACTACATAGAATAGCCGGATCCTCTTTGTAGAACAAAAACATCAGTTCCATATAAGTGATCTGGATTTTTTAAAGCATTTCGGTAGAGTTTGTAAACAATTTCCATCCGTAAAACTAAAGACAGCTGCTACTGAGAAGTTTTTTCCTCTTATCACTTCTAGATTATGAATACTGGTATAAAACGACAGTGATACTTGCATCCATATTTTCTTGTGTGACTAATTTACTCCATTGTAGTTTTAAGTCATCAGTTCATTTTTTACTCCTATAATCCCTCACATATTTTTCGTTCCACTCCCCCAACACACTATATATATATCAATCCTGAATGTTACATTTTTGCCATCGAAATCGGCCTAAACATCTTTCTCTGGTACATCATAGATATTAATTTTCAGGGTTCTGCGGTGAAAGAAACATTATACCTTGCAAGGATTCTTCCCTTAGAGACTGCAATGCATCACACTTAGCTTAAAGTTATAACAAATATTCGTAGTTTGACAACGCCTTAACCAGTAATACCTTTTGTAATCAGTCAAATAAGAAGACGAAAAAGAAGGAGTTTGGAGATATATTTGAAAGTCTATTGATATATCGAGAAGCATTAAGTCTAAGCTGACCAACGAGTGCTTAATAAAACTAATGAGGCCAGCATTAAATGGCGAACACGTACAGAACTACTTACCGTTACAAATTATCCAACAGTGTTTTCATTCATTATATTTGTGGGCTGTGGAATTTCTTTTCACAGACAGAAAATTACGTGAAAATGTTTTAAATTTCTCAAAATTAGTCTCCATATTTGCGTTAGTTTAGAAACCAATGGTGTTTAGTAAAGACATATTAAGTCTAAATAGATGTACGCTCATGTTAGAACGTGATATTAGACTGGGCCTATAACTGTAAAATGCACCAATTCAACCCTGTCAATCACATATTCTGGTGATCTGATTATGTCAAATGCCTTTTATTTGAATTCTTTGGCAAATAGTTTTGTCAAGAGCTTTTAGTGACTCACATTTATCACGAGAACTCGACCCTGTTTAATAAAAACAATTATTATTATAACCAACTGTACCAGTGCTTGTTTTAATGTGCTTTTGATTGACTGTGCTAATGACAGCTATATTTTGCTTCCATTCTGATTCACACACTTCGATTGTAACTTCGCGCGAATTCGGTTACGTTCTGTAACCAAGCTTCTATCCTGGCATGATCTCGATATCCTTTCGATGCCACGAGATCGCCATCAAATAAACCTCGACTTCGTCCATTAATTGCCTTCTGATATTTGGCTTCTCGGGGATTTTATGGAGTCATTTGGAACGAGCTTCTTGGTAGCGGTGTTCATGGTCAATCTCCACTCGACACCACGCTACAATTGGTGAGCCCGACGTGATCGCTCGTTTCGAAAAGACCTTCAAGGTTGATCGACACGGACGCGTCAAGATTGTTAGCATTGATCGTCTCAAACCAGCACACGTCGATGACAGTGCCCTATCTGATAACCTGAGATTCAATGCTAGACCTATCAAACCTACTAGCGGGATCCTCAAACCATCTTCAGGTCCCACGCTAGATACACCTGAGTCCTCATTCTCACGTCCCAGTCAACAGCACGCGTCATCTCGTCTACGGACGAGACAACAGTCTCACGTTCAGATCAGCAGACCACGCCGCCCTTGACTTCAGATGAGATTGCAGGCTCACGCGATGCGAACGACACTACCGTCTCACGTTCCGGTCGCCGAGTACGGTTATTCGTACGCTTTCGTGACTAGTCGCACAGTGAACAACCGATACGGTGTAGGATTATTCCCATACTACACGCATGCTACACTCTTCTCTTTATTGAATTTCTTTTTCTTTCCTGAGCCCATGCCTTCGACCATCTCCGTTTGGTTCCGTCGACTTCAGTGAACCTTTGGCGAAAGCCGGCCTGATCACCAACGCTCTTGTCAACGTATTCAGTCGATATATTGGTTTCGAATGCTTGGCGTACGCTTGTCCTCGAACTAGGTCGTTGCGGTCGCTTCTGGTCTTTTGGCTCAACGTGGTTTCGTACTACGTCTGCAGCGTTTCTGTTCCACATTCCCTACGAACGCCATCTTCAGATTCTGGATACAAACCACTCGTGTAGCATGCCAACTCAAGCAACAAGTACAGCACATCGCTCCTGTTACCGTTCTCCAAAAACGACCTTCGTTGGCAACTCGACGATCAACGATCGCTTTCCTGTTCGCCAATTCGTTCGTCCTACAATCGCTCGTCAGCTGATCAGTCCTACGATTTAAACCGCTATTTATCGAAAGTGTAAACCCTTTCTAGCGGGGTGCTCCTGTAGTGACTCACATTTATCACGAGAACTCGACTGGTTTAATACATTGTATCGACAATGCGGAACTTTGACAGGAACTGAAGGCCAAGATTGAGTGATGTATCATTCTTGTTAGTCCTTGCCTAATCCAGAAACGACTCCGAAGTTAAAGATTTGTGGTCAAGAAAGTTTGTTCGAAAAACTAACCTTTTTACATAGCCAGCATAGAGTTATTAATTCTCCATATATCGAAAGCCTATCAAATATAGCTTCGAAATTCTTCGCTTATGACTTTTCGTTTGAATGAGTTGCTATTCTCAGACTATAAAGTTATTACCTAGGAATTATAAGTGCCTCTTTCTTCTCCGTGAGAAGGTTGAGGTTTGAAATAAACCTACCGCTCAATATGATAAGTAGTGCTACCGTTGTCTCGATACCAGGGGATTGGGTAACTATGGCTTTCAATAATCTTTGATCCTCCTCTTGTAAGCTTATATTTAATGTTATGTTGTAGATTGGTAACTCACTGAGCTTTGTTTTTCCACCATTAGGTACTGAATAAAAATAGTCGCCCACCTGCAATACAATTCCATACTTATAATTATGTCCATACATAGACAAAATCTGGACGACTAGGTCAACTGCTCTGTAGAACTTTCTTTATTTCAGCATTTCTGCATCCGCAGTATAGATATGCCCGTTTTCTTCTCTATTTAGAGAACTGGGAAACTAGTGAGTCACCGTCTAAACAGCAGTTGTATCCAGAAAACAGAGGCAAGGTTTAGTTGTGATGACGATAGATTCAGTGCGCTTGACAAGTATGGCTTCATGCACCTTGATCTGACCCATATTGTATGCATTATTCATAGCGGTACTGCGAACCGAACAAATGTTTGGGAATTACGTATTCGGAACCTAGAATCAACGCTGTGTTTTAACCATTAGTATTTTGCTCCACTTATCTACTACGAGATCGATTAAAAAGCTGACACTTTAAGTCTAAATGAGTCATATCGTTCTTTATAGTCTTAAAGACGCAGTGTTCCACAATCATAGTCCCTAATTGTTTTTGTTTTACTGGAACGTCTTAAGTGATCTTTAGTCTTTGTAAATACAACAAACGTAATTTCACCTAAGACATGTGTCAAAGTACAGACGGGTGTTTTAACGTAATTTTTTGTTCAACATGTATATATCTGCTGTTGTTTACTATTACTTTCTTTAACATTAGAAAGTTTGTCTTCTTATCGTGAATGCTTTTCTATACCGTCTGTGTATAATCTGTCTTAAAGTTATCCCCGAAAAAAATAGCACTTCGTCAACAAACGACTGTCTCTCGCATTCAACTCAGTTATGTATTAACAGCCGGCTATTGATATGTATCCGTATTATCATTAGTTAATATAACTAAGCTGATTGTTCTGAATTCTGTTTTGGAAAACATGAAAAACTGTCCCGTCCAGTTTGGAATTCCAGTGAATACAATCTGCTAATCCCTAGTCTTGAAGGTTATGGTCTTAAAAATGTACTTAGTTGCCCATTTTCTTCTATTGCAGGAGATAATAGTGTCAATGTAATTGATCAGGACCCAAAAAAATATATTTCTACCTGCGAGGTCTTAGAGCGACATTTAGTGACAATACTAAAAGTTTAGATCTACTGCAAAATATTTCCGTGACACCAAACTCGCTAGATTACGATTATTCCGCTGAAGCCACATCTTAGGAATTAATCAAAGACGGCAAGCGCTTAGCGATGGAACTTTTCGTTATTTCCACCAAGGAAGAGACAAAACGGATCACACTGATTGTAGTCATTGGTCGTTTCCACTAGATTATCAATTGTCGAACAATAGGACCGTATTTTATAAACGCGAACTTTTGTGGAAATATATGAAACCCTGAGAATGTTAAAAGCAGTACTTAATTAAAGTACAAAACTGTTAATACTTGGAAATAATCAAATCAATACCATGAGGATAACTAACCATGAATTAGTAATAGGCTAACTCGGTACAAGTAGAAGTCAGTGAAAATCGTTTAATTTGTAAGGATACTAGGCTTGACTCATAACTATCAATAGATTTGTTCGCAACGCTAAATATCGATACTATCTAATGGTTGCTCATTCAGCTAATTAATTTAATACAACATTTAGATAGGCTCATGTTCCTGCGCCATAGTGAGGGTGAGCTAGCATAATAAACAGCAAAGTAGTTGGGATCTTTTTAGTACTAAAAATAGTGGAATTAAACAAAGACAATTGTAAGGAAAGAAGTACTGGATTCACAGTATAAAAATAAAGAATTTTGAAAATCAAGATCTGAAGGAAAATAAATAGCATATATACCTGCGTCACACTTGTGCCGGGTTTTGCGGTACTGGTGGCTGACGACTCCACAACTGATTCTTGGCCGTTCGTAGTAATGCACTCGGCGAGTTTAAGAAATAAATAGTAACTAATGAGTTTAAACCTCACGGACACTATGTAATAGTTTGTGAATATCTATAGCGCTTACATTGATCCACTCAAATTCCTTAGGTATCATTCATCATAATCCCATCACATTGATCTCTTGTCCTAAATGGAATCTATTCCCCAATCTTCTTGTCACTCATTATTTGTTCTAACGTTATTTTTCCTCGTCCAAATTCAATTGATATTATAGATCAGTTCTAAGAGTAAATATGCGTACAAATGTTATTTTTGTTTACATATTCTTGTTCTTCCCATGTTTGGTTATTATCTTATTTTGTTTCCTTATATTCAGCATTTAATTTTTGATATGTGGTATTGAACTATATATGCCTTTATACATTCAAAAATTTAGATATTTCCTACCCATGGAATCATACAGAGGTGAAATCATAACTCTTCAAGCGGGTCCTTTAGCTAACCGAGTCTGTGCTCATTTTTGGAACTTGCAAGAATATGGATTTTTCAATAAATCAGGAACTAACGAATGTGAGTTTCCTTTCACGTATAAAGTTCTGTTTGATGATAGTACACGCGAACCAAAACCACATGTGTTAGCCATTGATATACGCGAAGTTGTTGATTTCGGAAGTGAACTTGATCCTGATTTAATCCCTACTCCACTCGATATTCCTTCTTGGAACAGTCAAGTGGATAAAGTTGTGCGTTGCCCATCTACATCGACCAAAAATCAATATCATTGTAATTGGACCAACTGTTTGTCTCCTCTTGCTCGACGAATATGGTCTCGTAATGATACTGTTCTAAAACTGCCATTAGCATTACAACCTACTCCTGACGAGTCTTCTGTTAATGGAATTCATCAATCAGATTCTGTCTTTAGCCTTTCTTCATTTACTGAGGTAATTGCTGGTCATTTTATAACTTTGTTTATTATTCATAGATATCCAACTTTAATAGAACTTTTATACTATGAAAGCTTTTAACGGGAAACTCATTGTTTGTAAAATTGTACATAGATGATTGTATACTTTACATGTGAATAACAATATGATATGCCTAAAAAGCACGAGTTTTGGTAACTTTTTCGATAGCTTGTGTGTCATGGTGCTTTCATACTTAAACGCAACTGAATTGAGATAGATAAAAAATTATTGCTACTGACCGTTCTTTAATCATATTTCTGGTTTGATTTTGAACCTAGTAGTTTTATCTGAAATTAGATACATGTAACGTATATACAAGTACTATGCCAGTTACCTGAGTTCCTGTGCTTACTAAACAAGTGATCAATACAAATATGAGCAACGCTATTCTACTGCAAATAGTAAAACTTCCGCTGACTTTGTAAGTAGACTCTTTGTTTGACAAACAGAAGACTTTTTCTTGGCCTAATAGTCAGTGTATTTAAAACCTGGTTTTCATGTCCAGTTACAGTAGGTATGTTTTATGTGAGTTATTTGTGAGTGCATCACTTAGCAACTTATAACTGATTCCTGCTCTCGTTAGATATCAAAATGTCAAGCTCTTTGTTGCTTTTTACCTTGCGTTTCTGTCTATATTAGTTTGATGTTCGCGAAATCAAAGTTATACGTCTAAAAGTTGACTTAACTTATTTCAGAAACTCTATGTACGATAAAAGTAAGGGATTTGCTGATGGCTGAAATTTCGTTTGATCTAAAACACTTGGACACTGTACATAGTGTGATAAATTTACTGATCTCCAAATTTTCTTTACTATATTATGTAAGCGTCTGCGAAACTCATTTTTCACTAAACGTCGTAACTGGCTTTTGTCTGTAAGTTACTGTAAATGCAATAAGAATGTTCGTCTCGAATTTCGAAGCTCACGAAAAGACTTGTCTTTTATAACTTATCAAAATTTCCTCTGAACTATCTAATATACTCAGATCTCATACTATAGCATATGATAATATCGTAAAACTAAAGAATTATGTTTTTAGAAACTATAGTGCTTGTTTGTCCACTCATATTAAATACTTATCGATATACATATGAGGTGTTTAATATAACTAACAACGGTTTACTGGTTTTATATCGTTGTTTTGTATCTCACGCGTTTCAGGGACAAAATGTATTTCGTTCTGGAGGCAAGGTAGCCGACGAATGTGATGATCATATTCGTCGTATTTCGGAGCGTTGTTCTTTTCCAAACAGCTTTCAACTGGTTGTAGATGCTGAAGATGGCTTCACTGGTATTGGATCCCAGCTTTTAGAAAATATCAGCGAAGAATTTCCAAAGGCGTTCATTTTTTCGGTTCCTGTTTATAATTCATCAGTTGTATCACGAATGGATGCACGTTTGAAGAAGCTGGCAGTTGTAAATCAATTGTGCTTACTAAATATATTGGAATATGGGGATCTTCTAAGTCATGCATGTTGGTTACCTATAGATGCATCACAGTTATATGATCATCCTCATCCCTGTAAAAAATTGAGTGTCTTAGCCTCTGTTATTGATACAGTTACAACCCCTTCAAAGTTGGCAATTGAATATGGTGGTATGAGTCTAGATGACTTTTTGTCTGTGACATGTTTTGCACAAGGTAGAAAGGTGAGTTACTTTAAGGTTTTGTTGACCAACGATTTTTGTATGCATATAATTTCATTGGGTTTCAAAATATATATAAGTGAGAGATTTATAACTTGATTGTCTTTAAAATGATGGACGCTAGTACATATATAAGTTAGAAAATTAATATTCTGAGTCCAAACAAACGTTTCGTCAGAATATTTTTTAAATAGTTTGAGTAAAGTGGTTTTCCAAACAGATCTTGGTAAATTACCTACTTACCAGACTCAATTTTATGTGATGGGTTGTGGGGAATAAAGGCTTCAATTATCTGTTATTTCCAGATTCAGTTAAATTAAATTGTTCATCCGGCATTCATATATGTGCCACATATCAGGTATGACGACCAATCATACTACCCGGTTGCACTAAGCGAAGTAAATGTAGCGAGTTTCGAACCTTGGACTTAGTGGTGAAATGATCTATTCCAGGTGTTTTCATGTGATTTATTAATATGCATGGTCAATGCATGTAACTTGTAATAAATTCCTGAGCAAACTGAAAGTAATTTCTATATATAATTACTTGACCACGTTATTAATTCATTTCTTTCTTTTGTATACATTTTTGTCATAACAGTGAGATGACATTTGACCATGGTTAATGATGTTCTAGATATAGGTATATTTTTCCTCAGTAAATTGTTAGCGTATATCTTTTATGCGTTATTCACCAATTGATTAGATTTTATCATTTATTTTGCTTTAGTGATATTTCCTGCTCTTGCAAATTAAACTTGTTCTTGCATACCACTATTTGAGTAATAATTGTTCTGACCCATAAGAATTAATATCAATATATTAAACCGTACATGCTTCCATATGTTTACTACTTATTCCAGTGAATCTCTACTGTAAAACTTAATGTCTCGTTATTGTCACTTATAGCTTCATCCCATTCTTTATATGACTCCACCTTTATCACGTAAATACTAATTACTCATAACTATTATGTTAAATATATTGCTTTCTCTCTTTATTGCTTATATCGTTTCTAATCACATTCCGTTAATTATGATATGTAATAAATTTTCCAAAATAATATTATTAATGTAAATTTAGGCCATTTTGAGCCTTGAATTATTATAGATTCGTGTAATTCTGCAAATCTTATTATTCTTGGTTTATTTGAATTTATCAAGGGATCATAATGTAGAAAATTTTATATTATTTATTATCGACCATCTATTTCTTGAATAACCATCTTAAAAATTAAACAAAATTATCATAATTTTCTATACTATTTGTTTACTGCAATATAATATTTAAAATTTAATTGTATGAGTCAACTGACGATCTGATAACTTAAAAGAACGTGACTTCCAATCATTGGACTGAAGATTAGAACTCTGCTTCACCTTTTCATAGGGGCTAAGTAATCGATCAGTATTGTTTACTTTCTATACAAAAATGCATATGTTAAGATTGATTACATAGGTCTGTACTTGTTCAATCAATTGCATAAATCTAATAATGTAATTATCTAAACTATTTATAACCAAAAATCAACCGTTTTTATGCAACATTTATTAACTTAACTAGTATTTCTTTCTCATTCATTTCATTAGATGCTCACTGTACAAACTGGAGTTAACTGTAATGGAATGGTAGATAATCATTTATCATGGTATAATCTTAATCCTTATTACAATCAAGGAAAAATAATAGCTGGTAATAATGTACCATCTGAAGCTGTATTATGTCGTCAGTTAATGTCTCGAGGAATTAAACATTCTACTCTTTTAAATGATATATGGAATATGTTCAGTCGAACAGTCGATTCACATAAAACTGTTAACAATTCACCAATTGACATAGATATTCCATATTTATGCTCATTAGAATCAATTCATTCAGTTTATTCATTACCGAACTATCCATTACAAACTGGTATTATTAAACAAACTATGTTATCATCATCGTCAACGTATTGTCAACAGTATACAAATACACATATGTCATGCGTTGTTGATGTTCCAAGTACAAGTTCATATGAAGCAAAAATGTTAGAAAAGCTTGTAAAATCTTTATTATTGCATAAATCTCATCCACTAGACAATTATATGGAATTGGAGACATGGAATAATTTTTTAGAGTCTATTCAAACACGTTTAGTTGATTCGTATTTGAATGAATGAAATTAACTTCTATAACGTTTGTATAAAGGAAATTATATATTTCAAAGATTTTTAGATTTCTGCATTTAATTCCTTTTGTATATTATTTTCTCTGTATCACTTAGCTTTGATTTGTATGTTGGCATTTAAAAATCAGTGTTACATTCTGTTCCGTTGAGTATTGATTTATCATAAATGATATTCTAGTCCTGCTTTTTATTTATTGTAAAGCATCTCACTATTTAGTGATCATCAATTTGTAGGTGTTTCTTTGTCGTTGATTCAATGAACTGTGCTGGCGGTTTTAACATTCTTTGTATTTTCATAGCGTACTAACTATTTGCTGTTTTACAATAAGACCAATCATGTGTTAATTCTTGTAATATCACTTTTTCATTATTCTACAGAACTGAAAGAATGTAATTGATTGAGTATAATAGTTATCTTTAATTAATATTGGCCAAAGAATAGTCCAAGATCGGGAATTAGTAGTTAACTATTTTGTTTTACTTTTAAGCTGTTTGTGTACGGGTTCTCAGTCAGCTACAGAATAGGATTCATGCATTCATTGTGTTGGTATTCATGTGTCTGAATTCCAACTATTTGCGGATATGATTTGACCGTAATATAATGCTACCAGTAAACATACACTATCTAAGGAAAAACAGTTTATGGTAAGAGTATAGTATAGAGCGGATAAGTTTTCTAAGTTCATACGTCGTCTGGATTTGTTTAGTAACGGTTATCATGGCAAATAATATACGAAGCCTAAGAAATTATCCCAAAGCTAATCCACTACAATCCCTTGGATGTCTCTGGTGACCGTAATTCATTGACAGTCATGCTATATAGAACCGGTTACGTCACTACTCTATCAAGAATTGATTTGGCAAACTATTTCAGTGCCTATAATGTCGGTGTTCCTTTCACATATAGAAAGACTTGAAAATTGTTGCACTAAGTTTTCCGAGTATGTTTGATCATACTTAGGTCTGCTACATGGAAGATCGGTTGATAAGATTGTGACTCTATCGACTGAGATACGTTGGTAAATGCTGGCTTCAGATTCTAGGTGACATACCTCGGAATCGGTCACAATCGCACAGATTCATTTACTTTGTCTTCCGTTGATCCTGATTTCCAAAATTATTACATACTTTTTATTTTGCGAACTCATTTTTCTAGAATCGTATTTTTTATCCTTAGTATTTTTTGCCATCACTGATAATTCCATTAGCTTGATGTTCATCTGGCTAATCTCATGTTGTTGCATTGTAGGAATTTGAACCTTTTCTCATAATTGTTTCTATTTTATTTATGACTGACTTACAGATGCACATAATGACCATGAAAATCTGCAGTTCTCTCAGATTTTGGTTACATGAAAATTTAGAAATTTTAAATACTTCAATGTAACTAACCGAAATATCAAGAAAGGTACCCAAAAAAGTAATGAAATAGATGATCAACTTTTTGTTTCAATGGATAAACTAGTTTTAGTACAACCGGATGTTTTCTGTTAATCATTGGCCAATTTTATACATACTTCATCATTGAATTTGGCTGTTTCATTGAAAACGGTTGATTTGTATTGTTATGATAATGAATGTATGAATAAATGACTGATATTATCTGTGATTCCATAGAGATGTACACAATTCTTTTTTTAGTTAGTAATGTATTGGTGACAGATTTTGAGAGAAGGTATTAAAAATAGCGTAAACATTTTGATCAAATTATAATGGCAATAGTCACAGCTTCTAAATAATCAGCAAAGTTTAATGTTGCGTGTAACTGTTATCACCTATTTGCTGAAATTCTTTGCCCTATGTAACAATATAGTTGATGAAACTACGTAGAAATAAAATTAATATTCTTTTCCATTAAATGGCATTAGTTGAAAGTTCCATTGAAAACTATGAAACACTAGAAGTTTATTTATCCTGTTTTTGCGTACACCACATAGTGAGTCCATGATTGAGAGTGAAACATTTTCATTGACAGTAATTCGGCTAGAGGTAGATGTTTTGAATTCTAGAACTTCAGTCAACTTTATGTACAGTGGAAAATTCCATTCCTCAGTGTTATCGGTTGATATTAGTCCTCAATCTTGTTTTAGTTTACTCTGAAGAATATAGTTTTCAGAAAGAACTCATTGGGATTTGTGGTTATCGTTGGATATTCAGAACTGATTCATTTTGAGATACTCTTCATCATAGATTAATACAAGCTTCATAGCCATTGATAATCAAACAGAATTGGGCAACCATTGATACTTATCCAGTAGAATGAAAGTCTCTTAAAAGTTAGGAAGCTGAATAAACTTGTAACTAAATAGGATACGATCGGTAAGTTCTCAAATTCAGTCGCTAAAAAAGATGCGACACTAAGTATTTCAGGGTTTACTGATAGTAGCTGCTTCACATCATCATAACACTCCGATTATGTATTTTACTCATTTTTCAAAGTCGATTGATCATTATGTCTCCAGTTCTTTTTTCAGTTGTCCTATTAATTCCTTCCGCACTGAAATTTTATAATCGATACACTAAGAGGATAAAGCCGATGGTCAATTATCTTTGTAAAAATTCATAAAAATAAACTTTCGGTAATAATTTCTACTACTTGTGGTCAAAAAAATCTTTATTAAACTGTGTAAGAGTTTTCTTCAGGTCGTACCACCTAATAATTTTGACTGATAGTAGAATTGTTTAGTTTGTCACAAAATAATTCATAATTAATACTTCTTGCAAGCGTTAAGTACGGTAAATATTAAATTATTGGGTTATAGATACCCACTGAACTTTAATTTGCTCATCATGTTGATAGCAACTGCTGAAAAAAATTTACTTGGTTTAAATTAATGAAGAACTTATTTCAAACCTTTTTAAAAGGGTATGATAAGGCTACGTAAATTATGCTTAACAATCAACTAAGTAGTATGATATTTTCAGTCAACGAAATGTCAGGGGTTTGTCATTATTTTCCTCTGAATAAACAATGGTTTATACTGAATGTTGTCTACAAACATGATTTTGAAGATGATCATTGAGCTTTTCTCAAGAGAGAAGTTGGTTATTCATCGAAATGGTCATCAATTTGACTTTTTTTCTCTAATTCATTGAATTTTGACTGGAAAAGAGCGGTCTCAAATCATTCTCAGCGATATTATGAAATGGACTTTTTAAGTTCTTTAATCGGTATCACTTGAATTAAAAAATTGTTTAAAGATGTTATCCTTATAGATTTTTTCTTCTGTTAGGCTTGTTTAATTTTTAATGTCCGTTTCCTCTTGATGTGCTTGTTCAAAATTTCATTTGTCTTTGTGCTTAAAAAAAGATTCTTTAAATCCATATAAATTACACTCTTAAAAAGAACATATTATTACTCATTACAACTGAACTCCACGGATATCTTAGGCTTAAATTTCTTCAAAAAATAATCAGCTATCAGTTGGCTATTTTGTCACAACTTACTGTGTATCAATTTCCGTCTATTCCTTCCAAAGGATAGAAGGTCAAAAATGCTTTAATGAGCTAAAGATATATGATTTTTATTGTTCACATCGAATTTTAAAGAGTGACGAATACTTAGTCATCATGTAACTCTTAATTTGTCAGGGAAGTATATTTTCTGGAAATCCAACTTCAGTTTTACAGTACATTCTTATGTAAACATAGAATATCTGTATTTTATGTATATGGTATTTTGCTCTCGTCTTCCAAACCTAATAACTATGCACACATGGCAATTGTTATTAAGTAACACCAAATGGTTACCTTCGACATGCCGACCTTTTTTCATTGCTATCAGTGATGAAACTACTCTGAGATTTAATAGATAAAATTTAACTACTTTTATGAATAAAGTAGGATTAATAATTTGGTAACTGTTTCAATCAATCCAAGTAAATTAAACCATTATCCATAAGTCATTGGTGTAATGGATAACGCTACAGATATGAATTGATATGGGCTTGATTTAAATAGTGACAGAATAATCTTACTTCTAATATATACTCATCTGGATGAGCAAAATGTGTCAAAAGACAACTTTCCTATCTTCCAGAATATCATTACATGAAGAGAGTAAGACCAGAGCTCATTTGTTTGTATTGTTTATCTTAAAATTGATTTTGGATGGGGATTGGTAGAGAACTAATAAAAATTCATGAAATGTGAGTTGAGTTAATATTCAATATTTAGGTCCAAATTCAATAGTTCTAATAACTGAATAACATAAGATAATCAGTTAATCAAGTTTCGCTTGAAACTTAGGTTTACGAGTTCACATTACTAGTACACTCGACCTATACATAAGTTAATGAAACTGTTTAAGATTATACAGTATGGAAAAAGAAGTTCTGTTTAATCCTAATTGTAATCATTTAAATGTCGACCTGTTAACTAACAGAAACCGACTATTTAGAAGCCGTGTATTCCTTGTTATACAGATTTCTGCTTGTTCATTTGATAATTCTTAATATATATTTTCAAAATTGATAAAATGGTATCTAAATATCTATTTTTCAAAAGTCATCGGCTAATTTACGTTGCGAGATTTTTAAGATATCACTTCATTTATATAATATAAACGTCTACTATTACTGGGAATTCTATTCATAAATAAGTTGTCTATATATTGGAACTTATGTAATGGATATCAAGATAGAAATTATTTTGATATAGCAATTTGAAACAGACGGAGACTCAAACTTCTTTTCCTGAATCTCCAGAGAAATATGTTTCCAATTACTTAATTTCTAACAAAAGTTGTTTTTGAATAGTTAAACTTATTGAGACTTTGAAAAATATTCTTGATTGGAGATAGATAAAAATTCTATGTCTGATTATTTCATAAAATGAACTTTTAATGAAATCAATGTTATATATATATATATATATATATATATATATATATATATATATATATATATATATAACATTATTAAGTAATGCTGATTATAATGCATACCATGTTGACGGAATATCAATATTTTATGGAAGATGCATAGTAACAATAATATTTGTTGTTAGGTTTAGTTGAATGTAAACATTAAAATCGATATCTATGTCTTATGTTTTTGCAATTCATTATAAAAAATAACATGATATATAAATTGGTCAATAAATGTCATCTTTTGTCAGTAAAGGAAAATTTGCAAGAAAACAAGCATGAAATTAGATTGTACTTGTCAACTTAATTATTGTCAGAGACTAAATCTCATTTTTTTTGGAAAAAAGAATCACGTGACTACAACTACCGTCATAATAGGTATAGATTCAGAGAATGTAGAAAGTAATATTAGTATTTTTACAAAAGAAAAATCAAGTAGAGTTAAGTTTTAGATCAATACTTATGATTACCAAAAAAAGGTATCAATACTAAGGTTGAACTTGATAGTTTCAAATAAACTGAGAATTGGGTAGGGAGTTAATAATAAATATATGTTTGTTATATATCAGTGAGTAGAAAAATTGTGTTTCTG